GCCTTCATCGAGAACTCAATGGGGCTGTGGAAAACGTTTCTGGAGGCCAACTCAAAGGCAATTGCACAAGTTATTGTCTAGTTCGGCATATACCAAGGCAGTTGCTGATCCTGATATGGGCCCAGGGCGGCACTTTGTCACAACGTGTGGGGGGGCGGCAGGAGCGGCAAGTGCTGGAATTTGTAATTTAAGTGACAACGCCTGAACGCAACACAGGCTCCGCTCCAATTGACTGTGTGTCCAGTGCTGTGCTGCTGTCTGAGCTGCGTGTTACACACTGTCCATAATAATAACTATGTCAGGTAACAAACTGCGTCGGACTCGGGTCGTTTTTGGACAGGTAAATGCGGCCCGAGCCGCGCTCTAGTGTGGTCAACTGTGTCTGTGTGTGTGTGTGTGCGCACGTGTCTGTGTGTTTGTGTGTGTGTGTGTGCATGTGCGCATTGGAACTCTGCCGTAACCGATACAGAGAGCAGAGGAGAATTGTAAACATGCGACCATGTAGAGACAGAAATGACATGTAAGTAAGATAAATAACATAGGCTATTTAGTTAGTTTAATAAAAGGACAAGGTATAGACCTGTTCTATAGGAAAGGTAACCTTAAATGACTTCTGTTGTGATCTGGCGCTACATAGAAAATAGAATTAAATAAAATTAACTTCAAGGGGGGGCGGGGGGTGCCGTTGGGGGGGGTGTCGCCCAGGGCGCCATTTAGGCTAGAACCGCCACTGTACCAAGGTGATGCACTGCCCCCGCAACTGTTCTGCATAGGCCTGAAACCCTCAGCCAACTCATCACAAAGAGTGGCTACGGATACTGGTTCCGAAGTGGAGCGACCATCAGTCACCTCCTCTACATGGATGACATCAAGCTGTTTGCCAGGAGCAAGCGAGGCACTGATCCACCTCATCAGAATCTACAGCAATGACATTGGAATGTCATGCGGACTAGAGAGATGTGGTCGGAGAAGAGAGTGAAGACAATCAGAACCGAGGAGGTTGAACCACCAGAAGGTAGCATTGCAGATGTTCAGGACAGCTACAAATACCTTGGGGTCCCACAGGCAAATGGGAACCATGTGGAAGCCACAATGAAGTCAGCCACAGTACCTATACAGAGTAAGGCAGGTCCCGAAAATCAGCCGAATGGAAAGACCAAGGTCCGAGCCATCAGCACGTACACCCTGCCAGTCATCAGGTACCCAGCTGGTATGATAAGCTTGCCAAAGGAGGAGATAGAGGCCTCTGATATCAAGAAAATGCATGGAGGGTTTCATCCCAAGTCCAGCACCCTGAAACTTTACACTGGCACCAGTTTCAGAATGTACAGATGTGTGAGTGGTACTGATTGTCTCATTTGACTCTCAGTAAGACAGCCAATAAGTATAGGCTTAGATTCCTGGGGGGCAAAAGGACATTTGAGCCCCCTCAGCAATAAAATCATAAAAGCAGCATGAAAGACTTAAATTTTAGTCTAAATTTAAGACATTTTCACCATAAATAGGTGAATTAGACACTCACCAGAATGCAAGAAATGAAACTACCCCCCTTTTGACATGTGCCACCGCCCTGATATCATCTTAGACTCGATATTACATCCCATTTTCATATCACAGTTGTCACAAAAGCTGTTACACCATCCTTACCACACTAATGTATTCACACACACACACACACACACACACACACTGTTTGTCTGCAGTGTTGGTTGTGACCCCCTGTGTGCCGTGCAACATGATGTGCAGACAACTGCTCTGTCTCACACTCACACAGTACACCACAGCCCTCTTCACTCCTTCTACCTTCTTCCTCTCATTGATTTTCTTTCACCTCTTACTTGATCCAGTCTCATCCTCCTTTAACTTCCAGTTCATCCCTACATCCTTTCAAAATGTTTTTTTGCTAATGAATTGTGGCGATTTTGTCAAACGCATTTCGCAACTTTGTCCTACGAGTTGTAAATTAAATCTGTGCCTTGCTACATCAATTCTGTCTTTGCACAATGCGTACAATGAGGACCTGTTACACCTGATCATCTGGTGTCTTTTCCTCCGTCTCCTTTTTCTCCTCCTCTCTACGCTATTGATTTTCATCCCTATAAATAATATCCAGTTAAACCTGATAACGCCATTTCTGTCTTCTTCTCTCCTCAACACGCCCCCCCTTTCTTTGATACTTTGTCCTCTACTCGTCTCAGTCCCCTATCTCCTTCTGCCCTTTCGCCACTCCACTGCTTTCCTCCTCTCGTCTGCCTTGTTATGCTCCAGCTCGTCTCCTGTCTGCTCCTTTAAATAGCCGTACTAAAAGCTCTCTTATGTGTCTCTTTGGAATTAAACAGAACAGTGTAATGGGGGCTGGGGCTTGTGGGAGGATGTGTGTTTGTGTGTTGCTTCTGACACCAGCAGAGGGCACTGCTGCTCCTAAAATGATAATGTGTGCACAGATGACAGCAATATGTTACTGTAGTTGGAGGCTGGTTTCTTGACACAGTAGGAGTGGTGGAGACAATTTTAGTACATAAAATTGTCCCTGCAGGGCACATTGTCAGTCAAATCCTGTTACAGGTTGGGACACCCCATGATGTATTAAGATCAGAGCAGAGCTCGGAGGAGATTTGTGGGCAGACGGTGGGGGTGGAGGTTGTAAGGCTGTGTAAAATGTAATTGAAATATTCTGAGCAGGGATTTTCTTCACCTCAGTTCTTGCGGGGCTTTAACGGATGAAGGTGGTAAAGACGTAAAGAGAGCACTTAATCTATCTGTATTTGATGTAATTTACCTGTAATTATTGGGAGCATTTGTTCTCATACACGCAGGCATTAATGCAGTCAGGAGAAGTGATGTGACATTTTGATGCCTCCGCATGCCACTAATGAGTTCCTCCTGCTAGCTGTGTGTGTGCATATTGGAGATCATGATCCTGTGAGGCCAGAGGGAAGGCATCATCTGCAAACAACAGCAATAGAGATATCAGCCTTATGTTGGTCTGTCAGTTGGGGTGCAAAATAACAAAGCTGAGAGGAAAAAAGATTTTTTTTAAACGTATAAATAAACAAATAAAAAGGAATAAATTAATAATATTTAAATGTCTTCTTATAATGTGCTTTTATTGCACTTTATTTCTATGTTTTATACTTTGAATGGTCTTGTTGCTCAAAGTGGTTAAAATAAACTTGCTTTCCCCTTCTTCTTCTGATTATACTTGTATTTATGATTGTTTTCAATACATAAAATACTACCCTTACATCACTGACCTCAGCTGCACCCTGTGGAGTCTGATGACAACTTCAACAGGTCTTGCTCCATGTGTACAAAATGGTTCCTATTCTTCTCATCCAAAATATGGTCGGACAAAACCAATCTATCTAACAAGTTATCTTTGATGTAGCTGCAAAATATCACTGTCGTACAAAAAATAACTGTAGTAACTGTATGAGTGTATGATTCAACCATGGTCAAGGTTTGGTATTTTGAAAGGTCTCAGAGTCCTTCACTGTCTGCATGCAGGCATGTGAGGGGGCCCCATGGTGTCTGAAGGTTATAATACTGTAAGATGAAGACCTTGTAGATGTTCAGACTCCAGTGTTAAACAGATTGGATGAAGGGTTACACGTGCTTCTGTATGATGTGTGAAATACACTGTGTAAGGCTGAATCATTGTTCTACTAGTTTTTGGTATGTTTCCATGCATACGTGTTGTACAAAGATCTATGACGTCACATTTGTGTTGTAAGAAACATATATTTAAGTAAGATAAGCTAAGGCTCATTGAATTCATTTTATTATTCATCAAAATGAAGACCAAGAGTACAACTTTTTTCACATCAACCACTTTTTGCAGTTGTGGCGAGACTCATTTTTTTTTATTTCATAAAAGTGTAAAACCAACAACACAGACATATGAACAGCTGTTTACTTGTGTTCTCTGAATGTTAGGCTACAATATTCTACATAGCAGAGGCCTACATATGAATAATTAGAAATAATAACAGCCAGCTTATTGCTTGTTGACTTCATACCTCTAATTTCCACATCTTGACAACCAATAATTTATCATAGGCACAATGTTGGATCATTCATGGGCACTTTCAAGAGGGAGGGAGGATCTGTCTAGAGATTAAATTTGCACCAAGGGTCAGGAAAGATATGCAGGACGAAGAGGAAGCGAGGGATGTGTGTTGGGGGGATGATTATAATCCAAGGTTTAAGTTTAATGTTGAAGAGGTGAAGAAAAGATATGTTTCATTTCCACTTCCTCCTCAGATTAAAGAGGTGAACTTCAAAATTTTAAATGAGATTTATCCAGTGAACAAATTCTTAAGAATGAGATTCAATATTGATGTGAACGACTGTATATTTTGTGTCAGGGGAACATGAACATGTGTTTTATTGTTGTGATTTAGTGCAGCCCTTCTGGAGTGATATGCAGTAGGTACTGGCTGCAATCCAGGGATTTTGAGTTGTCACCCTTGGCAGTGAAGACAATTAGATTTGTTGTGTATGTGTTGATAGCAATGACTTTGTTCAAAATAATGTCCTCTTACTGGGGACGTTTTTCGTACATATAAGCAGACAATTTAAGGCTAAAATTAGGTTGAAACTCCTTAGTAAGTCACAGAAACTTGTTAAAGACAAGAAAGCTCTTAAGTTATTTTCATAACTAAATATGTTTAAATTAAATGTATGTGTGTTGTGTACATGTTTGAATCAATTTAAATGAGTTTTTTATTTATTTGTTTCATTTGCATTTTTCTGTTTTGTTATTATTAATAAAAAATATTATTATATTATTTATAAAAATGTGACTTGTATTTAAAAAAAATCTCAATGAAGCCGGAAAAAAACATAAATAAATTAAAATAAACAAAATGAATGAGCCATAGTTTAAGTTAAAGTTCTGATTTCCGATAGCCCTGAAAGCACCGTTTCTCCAACGTCATCAGGTATCCCAGAAGCCTCCTCACCAGGAAGTGGTATGCCGGAGAGGTTTTGTTTTGACAATGATGGAGGAGGAAGAATTTGAATTTGCTGAGGATTTGGAGGCTATTTTGCATCTGACCCCAGAGGTGCAGCTAGCCATTGAACAGGTGCCGTGTGACCTCGTTACTACTGCGGCTTTTTAAACACTGTTGCTGCGCGTGCTAACAAACCAGCTGTTAGCAGGCTAACTGGATGTGACACTGCTGTATGACGACAGCTAGCTATGAAACGATGATTTTCCCACTTTATAAACAGCATTTAGCTTCTAGACAAATGTGTGAGGTTGTTTAAATGTCGGTAAAATGTTAATATTATCTGGAAAATGTGTGACGTTAGTGTACAAAGCTGTGTTTAACGTTACTCCTCGGTGAAAGTCGTCGTGAATGTCAGGATACGATTGTATCTGTAACGTTGGTGACAAACGGCTCATTTGACAGCGTGTATGTGCAGGTTGTCAGCAATGACCCGGCCAATGTTATGACAGGAAACTGCTGAACAACGTTACAAAGCATCACCTGTTTGCATGTTGAAGTCACCCCAGTACACCATCATATATGCAGTGTAGCACCGTCAGCCGTGACTTTGTGACCGACCGTCGTTTGTCTTCTGTATCCAAGGTTTTCCCCAGCCAGGACCCGCTGGACAGAGCAGACTTCAATGCTGTGGAGTACATCAACACACTGTTCCCCACAGAGCAGGTACAGTGATGTGACACAGGCTGCAGCCACACTGATGTGCATTGTGCATATTGATATCTGCTTTAGTCTGGACCAGCTGATAGTCAACATATTCAATTCAATTCAATTCAATTTTATTTATAAAGCCCAATATCACAAATCACAATTTGCCTCACAGGGCTTTACAGCATACGACATCCCTCTGTCCTTATGACCCTCGCAGCGGATAAGGAAAAACTCCCCAAAAAAACCCTTTAACGGGGAAAAAAACGGTAGAAACCTCAGGAAGAGCAACTGAGGAGGGATCCCTCTTCCAGGACGGACAGACGTGCAATAGATGTCATACAGAACAGATCAGCATAATAAATTAACAGTAATCCACATGACACAATGAGACAGAGAGAGGGAGAGAGAGAGAGAGAGAGATGCAGGTAATGACAGTAGCTTACAACAACATTATTGAAAGTAATAATATTATAGTTATAGTTCTGGCTACTGTGGTACAATATGTTGAAAGCATGTATTAATATCTGGCAGTATACATGTGTGACAATAGTCAACAGTTAACCTGAGAGACAGTGGAGCACAAAGGCTCAGGAGAAGAAGCCGAGTTAGTGACATCCAGAATGGCTGAGTTAGCAAGATGCAGTAATAGAATACGAGAGAGAGAGAGAGAGAGAAGGAGAGAAGGTGCCCGGTGGATTATAGGGGGGTCCTCTGGCAGACTAGGCCTAAGTCAGCCTAACTAGGGGCTGGTACAGGGCAAGCCTGAGCCAGCCCTAACTATAAGCTTTATCAAAGAGGAAAGTCTTAAGTCTAGTCTTAAATGTGGAGAAGGTGTCTGCCTCCCGGACCGTAACAGGAAGATGATTCCACAGGAGAGGAGCCTGATAGCTGAAGGCTCTGGCTCCTGATCTACTTTTGGAGACTTTAGGGACCACGAGTAACCCTGCGTTCTCAGAGCGCAGTGTTCTGGTGGGATAATATGGCACTATGAGCTCTCTAAGATATGATGGAGCATATGACACAAGTGGATTGACAGTTTGTGTTTTTGGTCAACTGAGAAAATAAAAATAACTAGCCTTTTTTTCAGTTGACATTCTGACTCATCAGAGTAGGAAAAAAACAGGTGTCACCTACACTGATCAGCTGCAACATTAAAACCACTGACAAAGTAAGTGAATTATACTGATCATCTTGTTACAATATGATGTTCTGCTGGGAAACCTTTGGTCCTGGCATTCACGTGGATGCCACCTGACATGCACCCACCCAAGCACAGTTACAGACCAAGGACGCCCCCTCATGGCAGTGGCACTCCACAATGGCAGTAGCCCCACCACTGGGACAATGCATCATGCTACACTGCAACAAGTGCTCAGGAATGGCTCGAGGAACTTGACAAAGAGCCCAAAGTGTCCACCCAATCCCAATCTGGCTGATCATCTGTGGGACATGCTGATACCTCAGTTCACAACCCACAGGACTCAAAGGATTCTCCAACAATGCCCGGGTGCCGGACACCACAGGAAATTTGAGAGGTCCTGTGTCCATGCCAAGAAAGGTCGAAGCCAAGTTCAATCCAAGGAGGCCTGACCCTGGATCGGGGAACCTCCGGAGTAACAGCACATCCCAAGAATGCTCGATCAGGTTGGGGTCTTGGGAATTTTGAGGCCACGTCGATACGTTGAGTTCTTTGTTACATTCCCTTGGCCATTCCTGAGCAGTGTATGCCATTTAGCATGACATGTCATACTGCCTGGGTGAGGCACTGCCATCATGGAGAGCCATTGCCATGAGGGGGCATACTTGGTCTGCAGCTTTGTTTGGGTGGGGTGGAGCACGTCAGGTGGCATCCACATATATGCCAGGACCCAAGGTTTCCCAGCAGAACATTGCATTGTAACAAATTTGTAATAAATATGATGTTATTCACTTCACCTGCCAGTGATGTTAATGTTTTGGCTGATAGGTGTATATTGTAACATTAACAACGGTCCTGTTCTGTTCAGGTGACCCAGTAAGTCATGACAGTGTGACAGTGAGCCGGCAAGCACAATATCAGAACCCCAAAACTGAAGCAGCTAAATTAAATTCAACCATCACTAATTTCATTACATACATTTGTATGTTTCCTACTGTGACATATCAGAAAATCTTACATGAAAAAGTATCTGTATTGTGAATGCTAAATAACTGTGTTGCACTTTATCTTAAAACACTATACAGTATCATCCATATACTGTACATGTGTGTATACTCCATCTCCATGAGGGGTCACTGTAGACCTATGGTTAGTGCTAATATACATTGAATGGTTCCTATTAGTGTGCATGCATTTTCATCTAACTGGGTTTTGTGCGCAATAAATCAGTAGGTAAGGAGTTACACCTGCCCTGCATTTGACATGAAGATGTCTGTATAATTTAAAGCGAACTAATCTGCTTGTTTCCGCAAACTTGCATGAAGTTATATAAAGTATGTATTTCTGTACAGAGGTGTTTTTTTTGTTCATGTAAAATACACAATCAGCAAGAAAACACATAAAAGCAATACGTCACCCACGAAGGGACCATGTGTATATCAATTAGTCATGCTGCGTTGCCTTGAATTCATGAAGAAAATTTTGTTTACTTGCATGCCTCCATGGAAAGTGGCAAACATACTGATTTACTGATTGACTGGGGATGACTGGGTTTAACAACAACAAAACTATATCAAAACATCTGTTTACAAACTCTCACACAGCTTTGCAGTATAATCCAAGCCTCATTTATCCAGTCGGATGCTCAGGACTTTCCAAACACATGCATTTTTGCTAAAACCTCACTATCTAAAACTGAACTGGAAGTGCAACTTTTCTGTGTTCTCTTCAAAGCCGGACACCAATACTAAGGTTTTATAGTGAAAATTCATGAGTTTGGGAAGCACTGAGCGTATGACTGGTTAGAAGAGGCTTGGATCATACTGCAGAGTTGTGTGAGAGTTTGTAAATTGATCTTTTGAAATAGTTTTGTGAAACATGGTCCCCAGTCAATTAATAAATCAGTTTGTTCACTGTTTTCTGAGGAGGCTTGCAGAAAAACTAAATTTATTGATGAATTTAAGGTAACACAGCAGTCGCCTCATGTTTTCCTGATTTCCCGTTTTTGCTTTTCCCCTCAGTCTTTGGCTAACATTGACGATGTGGTAAACAAGATCCGTCTGAAGATCCGGTGAGTTTGTGTCAATGACTTGGTAACACTCTTGTTTGTGTTTGTGTTGTACCCTGTTGTAACCTGACACATTGTCGTTTTGTGTCTAATATTATAGGCGCCTGGATGACAATATCAGGATGGTGGTCAGAGGCCAGACCAACGTGGGCCAGGATGGCAGACAGGTGAGTTGAGTTGCAGGTTATAGAGGGACGCACTGCAGTGGGTAGACAAACTTTATAGACTTTGATTTTTTTTTTGCGATGAATTTGATCACTTTTCTGGCGGCATGACCAGAAAAAAATAGTCCTTTGAGTTTAGTTATATTTTTCATCAGCTGTCAGACTTATAGACGTGCTTGGATGATGTCATTGTGTTATGGTGATAGTGGTAGAGCCAGAGCTGTTTGCTAAGGGTGATTGGTACATGTGTCGGTCCCAGGGAAAATCAAGAAACACAGTATGCAGACCTTGCATGCCCTAATGGGGGATATGGGGGAGATTAACAACCAGTGTTGCATGTTTTATACACACACCACCAGGTCTTTTTATCACTTGTGCTGTTCAAAACAGCATCACTCAGTCAGAATAGTGCCAGTTGTTGCTCCCAACTCAGAAAAACATGTTCTTCCCGCTCGCCCGCTCTTTCCTCTCTCCACACTGCTTCCATGGAAAAGGACAAGATGACTCAGAACCATTCCCACTGCTCAAACTCCTCTTTACGGAAAACACGTCTGGGAAATAGATTCCCGTATGTAAATACTTAGATTTCTTTTAAACCCAGTCTTTTGAGTCTTTGCCTTTTCTTGCGGGAGCATGATGGAAAAGAACAGCTCCTGCTGATTTAGTCCAGGTCCTCGCCCTGTCAAGGACTTGTGGCTTAAAGGGAATGTGACACCTGACTGGTGAGTCGTGTGTGTTCTGACCAGTTGACATGATTAGGTGTGCGTTGTCGTCAGGGTGTCTGGCCCGGTGGCCCCGTCTTCCCCAGTTAGCTACCGTTTGGTAGCGGAAACGCTCTAAATCCCCTCCAGACCAATAACATTATACAGTCACACACAATAATTTTAGTTTGTTTTTCCAACCCCACTGTGCCATTCCAACATTTCCAGAGGGAAAATCCTTTCAGCAGACGGAAAGATGGAGAGGTGTTCATTTCAAGATGGCGACTGAAACATAAAGACAGCAAGAGAACAAAACCAACAACATCAGCAATTTAGTCATTTCTGCTGTTGATTGAAGTCACTCGCTGAGCTAAATGCAATCCCCAGGTTGAAACCTAAGATGGTAACATTTATGGAGAAGGATGGAGAGAGTGAGATGGGAGGAGGGAGAAAGTGGAGGAGGTCTGGGGAATGATTTCTCTGGTGTGTTTTTTTTCCTGTAGGGAGTCGGGCAGTTATATGCTGCAGGACTGAGAGTGTGGAAATGTGATTCTCTCAGTGGTCAGACGCTGGCGTCTAATAGAGCAGATTTTTAGTGTGTCGATGGCTGTGCTAGTTGGCAGTGAAAAGCTTTATGTTTCTTTCATATGGGTAAAAAAAAACAACAACTAATGTCTGTTGCATCACATTTAGACAGATGCATATGCACATTGGTGACAGTATGATTGACTGTCAGACATGGTATCTGGTGGCAGAGGGACAGATTCAAGTTATAATGATATGAATTCTGTCATTAAGCAGAAATTATGTCTGTGCTCATATACGGCAGTCAGACTAACAGTCCAGACTAATCCCTTTAACCTGCATGATTTCATGTGGTTGAAATATCATGTTATGTTTCGATGTAATTTCCTACAGTGCTGAAGGTGAGGGCAGATTGTTGGACTCTCCTGACCAGTCTGGCTGTGATGGCCAGGGGGCAGAGCCAGACGTCATAAACATTTGTGGCTCAGCCCAAACCCAGGGGGGTCAGGAGGCATGTTCCCTTTGGGAGATTTTTTTTTCTGTGTGCATTATTTTTCCAGCCATTTAAGATAATTGAATGCCTAAAAAAAAAATCTGTACATCATTTGGGAGAAAGATAATAGTTGCCAGGAAAACAAAACCATCCTGTAGAGTAGGGGTGGGAGATATGGCCCTAAAATGATATCACGGTATTTCAGGGTATTTTTGCGATAACGATATTCTTGATGATATGACAAATTAGTAAAAAACAATTTATTATTAATTTAGGAAAACACAATTGCAACAAAATAAGTGATGTAGTTTTACAGTTTTCCTTCAAATATTCAGTAAAAACTAAAATGATCTCTCATTTCTTTAGTTTGTTAACAACAGCAGTAACTCAGAGTGAGATTCAGATTCTGTATACAGTATTAATAGATCAACAAAATAAAATCCACCACAAAGAGTGTGGAGAGGGAGAGATGCTGTTCTGCTGCCAGAGGAGCCACTGACTGAGTTCCCTCTGAGTGGTAACTTTGCTAAAAGAGTCTGAGAAGTCCGGGGCTTTTCATAAAACATTCAGGGCGTCATAGGTAATTCCACACTACCGAAGCTGCTCCTCTTTTTGGAATAATTTCGCTTTCAGCCATGCTTCTTGTTGCCGTGGTTAACAGTAGGATGTCAGTATGTCAACAAGTCTAAATATTGTGAGTGTCATGATGTGAATTTTGCATAGGATTTTAAAAACTATATTGGTATTATCGTGAACGAGATGACACCCCTACTGTAGAGCCTACATCCTGTTTTGTATCCAGTAGTTCTCCAAAAGTCTTCATCATTCTGAAACTGTAACACAACAACTGTTTAGGATGACTCATTTTCACTCCTACCAACTAAAAAGACACAAAAAATTGAATTAAACAGCATCACTAATAGGGAAGTAATAAACACTGGCTTCACTGATTTTCTAGTTCACTCAGAAAGACTGAGAGAAAATGAAACACAGTTTAAGTTATCCTAAAATCCTAAAACAATTGGGGCTTTTGAGAAAGCATGTGGGACTGGAGCCCCAGAAGCCACCTCCTGCTCCACCACTGGTAGAATCCAATGTGGTGATGTTCACAACTCTACTCACATACACACAAGATATCCGTATCTGGTTGTAATCTGCCAGTGAAGAGTTTCCTACCGCACACGATGTTGCACGATGTTCCAGCCCGCCTGTTGTGAGGGTGATGTGAATACCGTATGCACACCTGCTCCGTAGTCAGCTCAGTATCACAGCACTAATGACGGGTTGTTAAGCATTTATTCTTCTTTCTTTTTATTAGAATAAAGGGCGTAAATGCAGTTTGGATGGCATCTATAAGTTGATGTCTGTGTTGAAGAATCTCATCAGTGAGACCAAACATTTGTTACTAGTTACGCCTTTCACATTAAGTTGCACACACATGCACACACTCATAGTGAGAGTGTGCTTGCTTGCTGCTTGCATGGTCTGCAACCTGGCATTTGTGTTTGTCTTTCTGTGTGTGTGCGTGTGTGTGTGCAGTCTTGTCCACTTTGGTATAGAGAGGGCTGCATTAGAAGATAGTGTCGGGCGGTATAGAAACAGCATTAATGTAAATATTTAAGGTTAACTCATAAAAGGCTGCCCACAGTTTGTTTAAGCTTCCCTGCTTTCATCCTCTCAGAGCTCTGTTTAAAACTTTCTTTTTTCTGTCTTAGTGTTTTAACTTTCTGTTTTCTGCATTTGTATTTCTTAAAATCAGGGTCGCTCTCTGCAGAGTCTTTTAGCTTGCACTTCATTTATGTGTGGTGACTTAATAAGTATATCCTATTAAATCTGACTACAACATTGACTTTGCCAAAACGTTGTATTGCTTTTTGAAAGGAAAATTAGACAATCGAGGCGATGCGCAGTAGCAGCAGCAGCAGCATCATAGTGTATTGCTATTTATAATGTGCATTTTGAAGTCGTGCTTTGGGTATTATTTACTGTCAGGTTTAATTATGACAAACCAATTGTGTTAGCGTTTGGAGTGATTCCATACAAAGCATTTCATCAGATTCTTTTCTCTGTTAAGTGAAACACTCTTCCCTATAAACTGTCTCCCTAAAATGTTTACATGAGGCATTGTGCTGAGGCAGTGATCCAACTGTTAAAATGATCCTGTTTGGTTGATCAGATTTATTGTATTTGGCATTAAACTCAGAAGTAGCATTTAATATTCCCCGTACTTCAGAAAGCTACACTGATGTCTGTCAGAGGGAGCAGTGAAGTGCACCCAAGCCCCTTTTTTAAACTTCCTTTGTGTGCCTTGGAACCTGTGCTGCTTATTGCACGTTAGGGATGCACTGGTGTGCATGTTTGCCTGTGCGTGTTTGTGTGAGAGCAGATAACATCTCGGGCATGGAGGCGCCTGCTGGGCAGTGGTCTCTCTCTGCTTTCCTCAAGGCTAAATACAGGAAATGAGCGCTAGGAAGCCGGCCAGATAGACTCAGCTGATTTGCAGCCTTGGAGGTTCTGGCCTCTTCTGCGTGCACTTTGTTTGCTCAAGAACTCCTCCAGGGAGCCTCTTTAAAGATTCAGTGGCCCTCCCTTCCTCCACACCTTTAGATAAAAGAGTAATCACATAACCTGCCTGCAGTTCTCCAATTCATTTATCCAATCATCCAACAACCATAGAGTTGTTTGAAGCATAACAAGAAAGACGGATGTGTGCGAGCCAGTCAGCTTTTGTTCGTCTTGATTAAAGAAGAGTTCCTCTCTGTCCAGCCTCTGCAGCAGACTGTCGCAACCTAGTCATATAACACACAGCAGATGAAGTTTTATCTTAGTTTAAGTGCATTCAGGTTAAAAATCCCCATGCAGGTTTCATTAGGCCCCTCACAATGATTATGTCATCAACATATCGAAGTTAGCAGAAGTAGGGCTGTAGTGGTGAAGGAATTTCCCTTGCGGTGATGAAGGGTGGCTCAACGTTGCAAAATGTGGTATTATCGCTATTATTAGTTATATTGCTGCTTTTTTAATGACAAAGATGACACAGTTTTAAAAGAAATTAAATACTTGTTCACCATTAAATGCATAACACAGAAGGGCAGTGAGGCACGATAAGGGCACAGCTTTCTTTTTGCGAAAAAAGCTTTGGTTTCTATGATACAGAATATCCACGGAAGTAAAAATGTCAGCACAAGGTGGAGTACTTGCTCGGCATGAAGGGAGGGCTGAAGCACGTAGGGACCTGCCAGTCAGTGTTGGTTCAGTATTAATTTCTCCTCCACTGTTGGTATTGTTCAGCGATGTGACGAACTTTGTAGTGTTTGTCCCGCCCCTCTTCCACTGTGATTAGACAGCTGGGTGAAAAAGTGGCAAGCAACTGTAGCATCTTACACAAAGTTTTTCATCTCTCAATGACCAGACAAAAATGTTAATACTTAAGCTTCTATGAAAAAAAAGAAACATGACCATAGTGGTTGTGGCAGTTGCTTGCCATCCCATGTGGATGGCTTGTTAATAGGGTGGTATTGCAATATTGCGGTTACTGCGACAGCCTTAAGCAAAAAGGTCGTGTCCTTAAATAGAAGAATATCTACATGCATCTGTGTTCACATAAGAATGTCATGAACATTTTAGCTGACATGGCACCAGATGAAACAGCAGGGTTTTCCCTGACATTATAAGATGTGGAGCCGCAAAAAACTGCTGAAACATGGTTTGCTGTTACTATTAAAGGGTGTACTTGCATTATTATGTCATTATATTATTACTATATCAGTAGCATGAAATGCTCCAAAAGAATACTTCACTGACAAAATGACCATTTGTATTTCAAATACTAATTGTGTGTTACGTTGGATTTGGGAAGAAAACTTTTCTTGCATGCCTCTATGGTGGATTGTGGAATTCAAAAAAGTTTAACATTCTTCGGGAATTTGTGTGAAAGGAGGCCCGCACCGAGTCTGTTTTTTTTCCCAGTTGTATGCACAGTACTTCCCAAACACATTTTCACTAAAACATTATGATTTAAAACACTTTGGATAAATGAGTAGCTTGCCTGAGCATGCGTGTGCGTATGAGGATTGCTTGAGCAGGCACGCTGCTTGGCTTTGCATTATACTGTTTGTACCAACATGCTTTAAATCATAATGTTTTGGCAAACATGCATGTGCTTGGGGAGCACCAACCATACAACTGGGTAAATGAGACTTTGATTATACTGCAGGAGTTGTGTGAGAGTTTTTAAAAAGATGTTTTGGTATAGTTTTGCTGTTGTGAAATGTGGACCATATTTACTTCAGTTCATGAAGAATGGCGGCCTTTTTTTGGATTCTCCGTTCACCGTGAAGGCATGCGTTAAAAAAGAAGTTTTCTTTACACATTCAACGTAACACAGGTTGAGTAACTGATATACAGATGGTAATTTTGCAGCTGAAGTATTCCTTTAAAATCACGATAAAATTGTTTCCGCAATTATTTCTGCGACAATATATCGTCCAATAAAAGTAGTTATTGTGACAGACCTACTGGTCATATCGTGTCGTCCTGACTTTAACTGTGTGTCCACCATACTGTCACCATGTGCTGGTCTTTGGCTTCACTCAGGAAGGAAAATGAATCCTCTGCTGTCAGTGCAAGCTGTGTTTATGTTTGTGTGTGTGTGTGCATGTGCACAGTTTTTGTGTGTTTGCTCACTCCATGTTTCTTAAAGGTGCTTGTAAAAGTGGTAAATTCCTTGCACAGCTGGTGCCGGCTGTTAGCATTCCTTTAGTGCGTGTGTGTGTGAATCTGAGGAGAGTCAAAGTTGTGTCACAGCATCGGGCCAAGTGAAGCCAATTACCTTGGCATCAGATGTCGGAGCACAATCTCTGTTTAGGACCATCAAAGAACAGCTGCCATGTCAGATGATGGGGAAATATTAGAATAGCACGTTAACTATCTTACGATTGTAACTGTCTAATGTTATCTAATCCGGTCTGGCTTTATAGGCTGTTAAAACTGCTAATAATCTCTTTAGCCTTTATAGTGACAGCCTTTATGTGGAGATTAGCCTTATGGCTCGTGTGTCGAACTAAGACCTATCAATGTCAGATATCTAGATAGCTCGCCAATTAGACGACCAATTAGTCTGTTTTCCAGAACTGGGAACAGGCATAAGCAGGATATTTTTTCACATGGACCAAAGCCAGTGGTGAGTGTGGACAAGGAAATATCCCTGGAAATTTGACCCAGACTGGCACACCACAACTGAGGCACAGTTATTCCACACACCGCCCTGCTTCTCACAACAAAGTATTACTAGTGTAGCATATTTTTTTCTAAAGGAAATTTAAAGGGAAGTAGATTTTTTTATTTTATGGGATGATACATTTTGATTAAAAGCAGAGTAAGAAACTAATCAATTTACCATCAGCTGCTGACAGAGTTTCCACATTCTCTGTTCATGAATTTGGGGATAAAAGGAAATCCAGACTGTCCCTTTCATTTAATTTTGGATATTTGAAACAGACACCAGAAGGCAGATTTATGTGCATTTGTTCGGTTGACTCATTTGCAATTAATGGACACTGCAGACCAGTGCAGTCTGCCAGCTTAGTGTATTAAGGAACAGAGAGAAAGCTAATTTGTAAGAGATGAAGATGTAAGACGAATGTATCCAAAGCCACAAATGTATTAGAGCTACAACAAATTATAAATTAATCATCAGTTGGCAACTATTAAATTATCACCAGCTAATTTGATGATTTTTTAAGAAAAATAAGTCAATATTCTTTGATTTCAGCTCCTTAAATGTGAATATTTTTTGGTTTCTTTACTCCTCCGTGATAGTCAATTGAATATTGTGGGGTTGTGGACAAATCAAGATATTTGAGGCCATCATCTTTGGCTTTATCAAACACTTGTTGACATTTTTCACCATTTTCTGACATTTTCTGATCAAAGAACATCGATTAATTAAGAACATAATCGTCAACGATAAAAATACTTGTTCATTGAAGCCCTAAACTGTATTGCATCTCATGTGGAAGCAGCAAACAGCTGAAGACTTCTTCACCCTTCTTGTTTCTGTTCTGTCTGACTCCCCACTGCTCCACTGATCGACCAGCCAACAGATAGAAAACTCTGTAGCTGTCTACTCAGTCAAAATGAGTATGTGCGAGTAAACTGAGTGAGGAGTTTCTCATCCCTTTGCTGCTGTCAAGGTTATGTTGCATCTGAAGGTTTCCATTTTTTATCCACTTGTTTCTGCTTCAGGTGTTATTCTGACATGATTAGTGATGGACTGAGATGGACTTTGGTGTTCAAACTTCTTGAGTCCAAAATTTGAGTCCATTCAAACCACTTTTGTCAAACACTCTGTCAGTGATTTTTTTTTTTTTTTACACAGTGTGTCTTCTCTGTATATCTCATATTGCTCTTTTTATTTTGGGCAGGCTTTGGAAGAGGCCCAGATCGCCATCCAGCAGCTCTTTGGCAAAATCAAAGACATTAAGGACAAGGCGGAGAAGTCTGAACAAATGGTATGCTCACAAATACACACACAAACACGCGTAAAAATACAAAGGTGGCTTGTTGAAGCTTATCAGAGACATGAACCTGGATCAGGAGAGATACACTCTGTATCCTCCTGTTACAATAGACAACAGTGGGGAGGGTTATTTAAAGTCAGAGTAATGGACCTTCCATGTGTCTGTCTGTTACACGTTTGTGTGTCAGAGGAAGGCCAATAGGCTGGATGCGTAGACAAAGGATAGGGGGGCCTCAAGAGGCATGTAGATGCAATTATTCCTCAAACCAGTGGGTGTGTCGTTCATCTTGCTATATTTTTCTTTGTCCTATCGGCCCATCCAGCAAACCATTTAGATTTATTTGCCTTCTTTTACTTCCTCCTTTTTTCCATGCTATATGACCGACCTGTCTGACTTGTTCCTCTTCCTGCGCAGGTCAAGGAGATTACAAGAGACATAAAGCAGCTGGACCATGCCAAGCGCCACCTAACAACATCCATCACCACCCTCAACCACCTGCACATGTTGGCCGGGGGTGTTGACTCTTTAGAGTGGGTACAATCACATTTCACAGATCAGTGCAAAAGATGTTCACAATTTATCCTCAAAGCTCATTTGACCAAAATCAATCTTAAAGGATTGTTCAGTGGTGCTGTAGTTGTGATATGTATGCTTAATGTTTGGGTTAGTTGCCGCCAGTTACAACGCAGGTCTTGTGTCAAGCCTTATATAACCCACACACTGTCAGCTTAATGATTTTTTTGTTGCCGTTTTCGTGTAGCCTGACAAAATAAAAAAAACCTTGGGGTTAAAGCTGCTAATGTATCCTGATGTAACTGCAAAACAAGACGAAAATCCCTTAAAATTTCACCCTAAAGACGGATGGAAAGAAAAACATACTGTGCCATCCCTACAAGAGGCTTAATCATTTTTATCTCTTGTATCCATATCCTTCTGTATTTCTTTTTTAAGAAGAGTGGGTGGTTTTCTCACCTCAGGAATGAATCGACACTGGTGAGAAATATACAGCTAGATTGATGCCCGTATGATACACTTGTTTACAGAGGTGCATGGCATTAATCACTTGGCAAACGTAGCGTAGAGCATGTAAAGGCACATATTGTCTTTAGATAATAATAGAAATTACTCATATGTGTGTTGTGTTTCAGAGCCATGACCAGAAAAAGGCAGTACGGTGAGGTTGCTAACCTTCTGCAGGGAGTGGTCAACGTGCTGGAGCATTTCCACAAGTACATGGGCATACCCCAGATCAGACAACTCTCTGAGAGGTAACTAACATGCACACTAACACATTTTGACAGCTTATATGTTTGCATAAGACTATTTCTTTACATATTTTCCTCAGGTACACTTTCTATGGGTGTATCAGCTGCATTGCTGCATCTCTTTAATGCTTTGGGGTTTAATGCCTTGCTCAAGCTCACTTGGGCTGCTGGGTAATCTGGAAGAGCAGCTCATTTCCAGTAGCCAGTTTAGAGCTTGATTTCTGCTTACAGCTGAAATGTTCCGTAGCTCATCAGCTGAACTGTTGAAAAGTGGTTACAGTATTTGGCCGGAGGTATGCTGCATATTACATCCTGTTTATGCAGATATTCACACACATACATGCACAACACACACAGGAACACACAGGAAGGAAACTCGCTGAATAGGGCGCTATTATGCCAAAATTTCTTCCATTGTGAGAGATAAGGGGCGTAGATTTTCTGAGGGTTGTTTGCGTCTCCATGTATGTGATTCCACTCGTGTGGAAGATGCATTTAGTACATTTCGGACTTCAGATTGTTGTTCATGCTTGCATCATGTCTAACAGTGTAACATTTAATAAAAACTACATGTAGGAATGTTTGTTTGCTCTGGAGTCTGTGCTCAAGCACTCACACAAAGATTTACACACAGACAGAGACACACACAGAACAAAATGCATTGTTACGCTGTTGTTTCCCACAGTCCTGACTGATTAAATTTCCATTTTTACTCTAATTTTCCAGGAACATTAGAATCAATTTGGGACACATTGGCCAAGTTGATGTTTGAGTTCAAAGCAGTGCTGATCCCCAAAAACAAAAAAAGGATGACCTTCTGTTCTGTTTTGACTGAGGTGTGGCAGACCGTGTTCATACCAAATAACAGCTGCGTGGAAGAAATGACTCTGCCGGAGAAACAGATGATAGGAGAGGGAAAGGGGAGACACGAAGACGAGACAGACAGCTGGCTGCAAACAGTTAATAGAAAGTATATAGAGAGTAAGCAATAGAAAGTCCTCTCTGTGAGAAATGTGGGCAGGGTAACACACCAGCCAAAATCCTACACGTAGCAGGTAAACAGGGGACAGGAGATATAGAGGCAGGATGAAGGATCACAGAATTACAGCCACAGGGGAAAAAGTAGCTAAAGGATTTTTTTCTCCAGAGTTACCTGCAGCACCTTTAATTTAACAATAGCAAAAACAATAATAAGGCACTTATTACTACTATTATTATTACTACTACTATTACTACTTACTTACTACGCATTTTTATTAATTTCTGAATTCAAACAGCAAAAAAGACCTACTTTAAATCTTTTTTGTTTTTTTGTTTTTTTTTTTGTTTTGTTTTTTAGAGAGAAGACTTAGGTAAAACATTTCTGTCAATTATAAAATTAAATAAAATATACAAATAGATAAAAAGAAATAATTCTATTAATTTATATGTAGGTGATAGTGAAGACTATATTTAGGAGATGTTTATTTAGACAGTGCCGTGTTTAAAAATAAAAGGCAAAAACAAATAAAGCAAATAAATTAGCTAAATTCATATTTTAGTAGTGACAACTACAGAGGATATTTTCAGGTTAAAGAGAAATGCACATTTCAGCTTTAAACAAATGTGAAAATTCTACAGGATTAGTCTGAATGCATATTAGAGCCTCTTTTGACATTTCTCTACTCTTGCCTTTATGTCTTTAATTCAGTGAAAGATACCGACCTTCTGTCCTGACAGTAGTTTGAGCTGTGGCTAAATGGGGTCAGTGCAGCTGTCACCTTTAAACAGGATCAACGCTGATTATTTTTAAAAGGCTTGATTCTTGCCATCGCTTACTTTCCTAACTGTCTCTGTCTGGCAGGGAGACCAAATGTCTGGCTGTGTCGCACCATTGTATGTAAACGATGTGTATGCACATAAATGACTGGAGAAAATGCAGCCACAGGCTCGACACAGTCAGACCTGCTGCTGACAGATTGGTGTCTGGTATCAGCTTATCACAGTGTGAGATACAGCTGAAACAGGAGCTGGAGAGTTGTGTGTGTGTGTGTGTGTGTGTGTGTGTGTGTGTGTGTGTGTGTGTGTGTGTGATTAGATTTCTCATACTCAGACAGAAGCTGACCAGACAGAGGTGGATAGTTCGATATTTAGCCCACAGCGGGTGCTTGAAATGAAGGCTACCAGTTCAGTTAGCATCCATCTGTGACACAATCTCTCCACCCACTCCTGTTTATTCTGGACGATTGTCATGGCTTTGGGTGCTGTCCTTGGTTAACCTGGCCTGAATGCATTCGGACCAATACAGAGGACTGGACACGCTCAAATTGTCTTAAAGGGGAAGTACACCCATTTATAAAATTCATACATGTTATTCTCATGGTCTAAGACAGTCTAAAAATATTAGTAAACATGAAATACTCTCCCAAATCTAAAACTTAGAGTGCTAAAACTCACATTTATGATGTCATAGGGTATAAAGTCTGGAGGTGCTCCATAGACAATGAATTCTGGAAAGATGTTTTAGGTGACTCTGGGGAATGTTCTGAATATTTGGGTACATTTTCTGTTTTATAACTGAGAGCACTTCAAAATCAGGCTCCCATTCATTGTCTATCGAGCAGCTCCTGACTTCACACCTGATGACATCACAAGTTTGAGACTTACTTCTCTGGTTTCTGGCTTTGAGAGAGAGTAGCTCATGTTCACAAATATTGATTGAACTTTCCAAGGCCATGGGAATAACAATGGAATCCTTAGTTTAGGTGGTCTCTTCCCCTTTGAATATAACCCCATTATATAAACACTTCTCTACCAGGTTTGGAGTTTTCGTAATATTTTACAATAGCAATTTTTGTGATGTGTGTGCTATGACACTTCAGCTACATCACTGGTCTTGAGGTTTTCCAGGTACTAACTTGTAAATAGTGTATTTCTCTGTGGTCCTTCGACAATAATAAAACTAGGTATCTTTAAACTGGCTGTTAGCCATAAAAAGTGTTTGCCAGAGTGACTACAGAGCTAGAATTTTCAATCTTTAAAGGAGGCTAAAATCTGAAGGCTTCCACGTGAAAGTGCCACTGTTGTTTGAATGAGGAAACAATAAATAATAGATTTGTAATTAATCATTGGTTTTTGTCCTTTCCAGAGTAAAGGCAGCACAGAGCGAGTTGGGGACTCAGATCCTTGCAGATTTTGAAGAATCCTTTCCCTCTCAAGGTTCCAAGGTGAATATATTTTTCAGAAAAAAAAATCTCAGATCACCTCTGTTTAAACAATGTTCTTGTCTCGTTCCCATCTGTACAAAACTTAAGGTCAAACTTTTATGTCAATACCGATTCAGAGACCAGGTGGTCCTAGCAATGTGTTGAGAGATGCCTGCCAGGTGGCCAACGTGCTGGATCCACGCATCAAACAGGAGATCATCAAAAAGTTCATCAGACAGCACCTATCAGAGTACCTGGTGTTATTCCAGGAAAACCAAGATGTGAGTAAGAATTAATTTCATAATGTGTGATATCATATTAAATTGTAGTAAATACCTAATTTAAAAAGGGTGGTGTTTAGGTATGAATGAAAAAGTATCATACCCTGTTGCTCAGGTTGCATGGCTAGACAAGATCGATCGGCGCTATGCCTGGATCAAACGGCAGCTGGTGGACTATGAGGAGAAGTATGGACGCATGTTTCCTGAGGAGTGGTGCATGACGGAGCGTATTGCTGTGGAGTTCTGCCACATCACCAGGTAAACACACACCACAACATTTAGCATAAAAACCCATCAAGGACCAAGCATTACAAATGATCTTATACTATGAGGTTTATGGTTTGTGGCTTTACCCTATTCAGTGAATATTTTATGCTGCGTTTTGTCCCCCAAGAAAAGAAAATAAATTAAATGTAATTAAATTCAAAAGGCAGAAATTGAGAAATTGGTTGTGGGACTTTTCTGCATCATGAAATGAACCACACTGGTGTGGCGTGCCTGACGTGACTCTGTGATTTGGCTTTCGGTGCTGTTGACGTAGGTGGCCTACATGAGCAGTGACCTAGTGTCCACACTTCTCAGTCTTTTCCCCTCAGCTACATGAGGGAAGAAAAAGTGGGCACTGTTTGTGTGTTACTCCCGCGCTGCAGCTGACAATAAAAAAACATCTGGCAAAAATCAAAGAAGTAGCATTTGAGAAAAGCCTGACAAGACATGTTTTTGCTAAAAGGACAATTATGTAACAATTATTCACTAAGACAGATTATTGGACACATTTTGGGATGTAAAAGCAAAGAAATTAGAGGTAATACACTCAAACTGATGCTATGTCTGTTTTTTTCTTGTGTGTTTGTAAGGGTGGAGCTCGCCAAAGTCATGCGTACACGGGCTAAGGAGATTGAAGTGAAGCTGCTTCTGTTTGCTATTCAGAGGACCACAAACTTCGAGGGACTTCTGGCCAAACGCTTCACAGGATGCACCTTGACCGACACACCCGGAGTAAGAACAGCATACACAGACAAACAAAACATACGTGTCTATTGACTGTTTACTCCAGCTGCTTCAAATTATTCAAGCTGAACACAGAAAATTCAGTCAGCTATTGTAATTGGTGCAGTGTTAAGCATTGTTGCCTCACAGCAAGAGGACTCCTTGTTCGAACCCAGGGTGGGGGAGCCGTTAGGTGCGGACTTTGCATGTTCTCCCTGTGTGGGTTTTCTCCAGGTACTCCAGCTTCCTCCCACAGTCCAAAGACATGCAGGTTAATTGGTGACTCTAAATTGTCCATAGGTGTAAATGTGAGTGTGAATGGTTGTCTGTTTCTATGTGTCAGCCCTGTGATTGTCTGGTGACCTGTCCAGGGTGTACCCTGCCTCTCACCCAGTGTCAGCTGGGATAGGCTCCAGTCTGTATGTGTATACACTTTTCTCCAACGAGACCATACCACCTGTTGAAATCATGGATGTATAAAAAGAACTGGATACAACGTTGAAAGTGGAGCTTCATTTATTCCTATGAAAGTTGCTCAGTGGCGCATAAAGCCCAAAAAGCTTAATATCTGCAGCATGAAATTACCAGATTTTCTACACTGTAGTGGCCCTTAGAGCAAGTGGAGAAGGGAATTATGGCGGCTGAGCCTGGCTGAGCACATTTGAGCACAGCCAAGCGCAGCTGAGCGGCTAACTTCCTGTTTAACTAACATGAATGGGCATAAAATGATTTAGTCATTCAACTTCTCTGGTCTTTCCAAATGTTATCAGGCTGAATGGATCAAGCCCCGATGCAGCAAGTCAAAACAAGTCAGTTCAAGGGCATTGTGATGCTCAAAAAAATTGTATCTACTGATTTATATACATCTCTTTCCCAGTGTAAGTCTATAGGAAAAAGTTTTTGGGCCCCACTGTTTCAAGTATTGGACCCTGACATCGTGATTCCATGTTTGGCTACTCTGTAAAACTGGCTTTAAAGCCCGGCACTGTTCCTTGGGGCTTGGCTGAAATACTTTTAGTGTTGTGTTAGCAGAATGGCAGCGTGCAGATTGGTCCTATTAAGGCAAAAAATATTGGCAAAATATCTTTTGTTTGTACCATAATTACAATCATATTTTGTTGTGTTCCTCACTCACACACACACGAACAGCATTCTTTGTGCCACAGCCTGAAATAACCTCTTAATCCAGGTCATGTTGGCATGTGGAGGTGGAAGCGATACACAGAGAATGGAAGGATTCTGATTATTATTTTGTTGGGGGCACAACTAGGCCAAGCTTGTTCAGAACTGATAATATTTGGGCTCGTCAGAGGCCCTTTGTCCTCAGCTCAGTTTACACTCACGCCTGTTGGGTTCTGTAATTTAATCAGGGATTTGGTTGAGTGGAATTTTATAATTGGAGGTGCAGTTTTACCAAAGTCTCTCATGAAATGTTCTACATAAACACTGACGAAAGTGCTGAAACCTGGATCATATTTAAAAGAGTTTTTGATGATTACAGAAACTGTTCGCATGGAATTTCGTAGTGGCATTCAGACCTCTAATGATGCTCTAACAGCTGAGCAACAGAAACAAGACTCGTGTTTTATCTGTGCTTTTATAGCAGAAGAGGCCAGAGAGCCCTCTGGACCCAACTAACCCCTTCCTGGAGGATGAGGCAGGTGAGGATGTGGGCACAGATAAGGACGAGGACCTGGCTAAGGTGAGTTGACCTGGAATGACCCCAGATGACCTGTTCTGTAACATGAAGGGACATTCAGATGTCGTTTCCCCTGATGTGGAGCTGTCTGTAGGTCAAATAGATTTTCTTTTGGATTTCTTTCTAAAGCTCTGACTGCCTTTTTTTGTGGCAGGTTGAGCAGTGGTGTAGCAGCCTGATTTAAATACTCTCCCATGTACTACCTCCACTTACCACCATGTGCTTATGTGGCAGTAGTTTGAACACAAGAATCTTATCTGATAGACTCTTACTCTTGGCTGAAGGATGTTAGGTACACCTAGGTCAAACTGCTCCTCTCCAATAAAACAATATAACAGCCCTGAGGGCTGAACAATGAGGTTAGAAATACAGAGGAAACTGCTTCAATTGATCTGGGGTCTCATTTAAAAACATTGCATACGCACAAAACAAGGCCTGAAACAAGTGTGCATCACTTCCCATGGAAAAGTTGTGATCTCTATGAAGACAGACTTTACGGGACAAACTTTGACCCATGCTCACAGACATTCTGGAGACAGGAAATTGGTGAAACAGAGGATGAGGTGGAAGCCTGATTGTAGAAACTGTCGAATATTTTTTGGCGCACGCCATTTTAGGCTTTTTTAGTAGCTATATATACAAGCTAAGATGTATTACAAAGGAATCCATAATAACAATAATGTAGATGTTGGTTGTCGTGATGGTAGTAGGTTGTTCCAGTGAGATGGTCCTGTGTATTTCAGTGAATTTTGATTAAGGGAAGTTCGACAGTACAGAAGACAAAAGTCCTTAGATTGTCTTGTGGAATATGAGTGAAAATCTTACAGTGTTGCCATTTGTATATTTATTACATGAATATAAAGTAATGCAATGGACAGCTCTGCTATTTACTTCATTTTCTTGACTGTTGGAATACACAGTACAGCTGCTTCATTTCCTGGGCATTACGTGACCGGGCATTTTTCAATCCACTTGACGAGAATGGCTCACAGGTTGCTTCCCCCTGTGCACATTCATTTTCTATCTCATCACTGGCAGTAATGACTATGAGGTATAAGCTTTGAGGAGACAAATTTTGTCAGTGAGAGAAAATGACTTTCTTTTTCCTTCATCATTTCAGTGTTAACACATCACCAGTCTCAGGTAGCCAGCCAAAAGCAGATGGGTAATAGAAAGAGAATTACCATAGTTTAAAAAAATTCATATGTTATCATGTATGAAAAGATCAAAAATGGTCAATGTAAGCAGACTACTTGATTACCATAAGCAAATTATTTAGACAGCTTTTGTACAGGAATAATTCTGTCTAAAGCTTTTTGAGCCATGTGAACAGTTGATCATTTTAACTAGGGATGTTCCGACATGGATTTTTTCAGCTGATACTGATAATCGTCAATTACCTGCTTGCCATGGCTGTTGACTGATATGATAACCGATAATTTCACATTTTTGTGTTTTAAAGAGTAGTGTGTAACCTCTAGTTTATGTACACCTGGGGGTAAGAACGGCCTACTCCATAATCCTGACCTAACCAAATGAACCTGACATCTCTTCCATACCTGCCAACATTAGGTCTACTTTCAACACCCCTGCCCCCATATCACCCTACACTACAGATGAATCTAATAAATACAAGGATGTGAAAGTAAAATTACTTTTAATCTGTATTAACTAATGGTTGACGATAAGAGAGAGGGAAATTATGAAACACACCCATGCACCGTCTCACCATCCCACGATAGACTAGCCTACAACTACCAAGGAGAATAGTGCTGCACTTTTGATTCACCTCACACATTGAAACACAACTCGGACAAACAAGTAGCTATGTCTCACTCTCACACAGCCAGAGAGGTAATGATAGAAATAATCGCTAACTGTAGCATCACATGGCTAGCGGTTATTTATAAGTTTAACAACAGAGTCGAACTTTTTAAAAGCTTGGTGCGGGATGTGAGCCGCTGCTGCTAATTAGCTTGTGCTAACACTCTGGAGACAGTCCTCCAGCGCTGTGTCTAACCGTTCAGCGGTCAGAGATCAGACCCTTGGCGTTATCCTGTTGTCTTCCTCTGGAACTGTGAAAGACGGCTACACCGCAACATGTTTTGCTCAGACGAAAGCAGTCTGGCTTTGTATCATCAGCGCTATTTATCGGCTATAATTTTAATTATCTTAATAATGCATAATAAGTAAAATGTCCCTTTATCGGCCAATAATTTATCGGACCGATATATAATGTACATCCCTTATTGTAAACATGATCACTATAAGCAGTATACGCTGTACTCTCTCAGTGTAAAACAACATGGTTCAACAGCACCACAAACTGCAGCCTCCAGATGATCAAAAGTTGAATCGACACCTCTTTAAAAGTTTCAACAAATAATAACATTCATGAAAGTAAGATCAGTTGCAGGACTGGTGTATTGGACTGCGTAAGTTTTAGTGAGGTGGAGCTGATAAAGTAGGAGCTGAATGTATTTCATGCATGGTAAGCAAATCACTATCTCAAACATGTAACACCACCTTTGAAAACTGTGTTCAGTGTTTTGACGTTAACCTTTGCTTGCTGAGCTGGAGGCAAAACATAAACTCACTGATTGGCTCTTAGAGGAGCTGCAACCAAAACCTGTTATTTCACTCATTCCTCATTTTCCCTCCATTCTTTCAGCCCAGGAAGCCAAAAGCTCCGGACAACCCTTTCCACGGCATTGTCTCCAAGTGCTTTGAGCCTCATCTATACGTCTACATAGAATCCCAAGACAAGTGAGCAACACACACTCACACAAGCAGATGAGACCAAATTGGGTCGGGGTATACAGACGCGAGATCGGGAGCAGGTTGTGTTTAAAGCTGGCACATGCGTCCTTTTTCCATTGCCCACTCATCAATCAGATCCCCCACCTCCCATTCTACTTCCCTGCCTCTTCTGTCTTTCCATCTCTTGTTCCTGTACATGCCTCTGTCTCCACTGTGGCAGAAATGTTTCCCATTAGCTACACAACCACAGACGCTGAGAGAAACAGAGAAGGAGGTTGAATAAGTGCTGCCACAGCAGATCTGCCTATTTTCATTCCCACCTCTTTATTTTTTTTTCTTTGTGGTACCCCTTCTCCGCTCTCCTTCTATCTGTGTGGTTTTTGTTTCATTCCTCTCTTCATCCCAATCTCTTGTCTTTTATTTCTTTTATTCTTACAGTCTTTCTGTTTTCCTCCCTCTTCTACCACCATCCTTCACTTCTCCATCCCTCCCCTCCCCCCGTCATGGTGATCGCTCCTGAAACTGAACACGGTTCTGGGACTGCTGTGCTTGCATGCAGCTTCTGGCTCTTGGCTCTCTGGACCGTTAAATGCTGTTTGTCTGTCCAAGGGAACAGGATTGACCTATTCTGCAGCTACAACCTCATTTCAGCTCAGTCCAAAGCCCTTAAACAGGCAACAGCCAGATCAGCCTGTCCTCAGTGGGACATAGCGGGAGAGAACAGTGGCCTGCTTGTTTTGTCTTTGGCTTTAGTTCCAAGATTCAGTAAGATTGGGCCACACCAACTGACTGTGGACCTGTTTACTGTAGTCCTCAGGGTTTTGATATGCTCGGAATATTTTCCCCTATATATCCATGTGGCTTTCTGTCTGCCTGTTATATTATCCTTTTATTTGTTTAATGGATTTAGGAGCCAATCATGTTTTTAATGTTTAAATGTTTTTATTTAGTTCATTTAATTCCTTTCATGTGTCCCTAATCCAGCCACCCGTGTGTGTATGTGTGTGTGAACCTGTGTGGATTTGGCTATACATTTTTGGGTATCTGCAGGAACCTGGGTGAACTGATTGACCGGTTTGTGGCTGACTTTCGAGCTCAAGGCCCACCCAAGGCGGGTACTGAGGAGGGCGGAGCAGTGCTGCCCAGCTGTGCTGACCTCTTTGTCTATTACAAGAAGTGCATGGTGCAGTGTTCCCAACTGAGCACCGGAGAACCGATGATCGCCCTCACAACCATCTTCCAGAAATTCCTGAGAGAGTACGCTTGGAAGATCCTCTCTGGCAACCTGCCCAAGTAAGACTGGTTCCAGTTTGGTCACATATGTAGCACAAAACAGGAGATTGTCTGTGTCAGAGGCGTTCCCACCTACTGGAAATATTTGGTTTAGGCAAGGGGTGGCTTCTGGGAAGAGTGTGCAGGAGGCAGGACATGACAAAGATTATACCACGGTGACATAGCCCCATCGTAATTTTTTCATGAACTTTTTCTGCCGATTTCAGCTTCAGCCCATACCAGCAGAAGTTCCTCTCCAGTTAGACATTTTTGTTGCTGTCTTTGTGTAAATGGCACTTCTTCTTTACCCTCAGATGTTTATTTTCTTCCAGTTTGCACAAGCCTCATGTTAGAAATGTCATCAAGACGCCCACTTGCTCGCTGTGAATTCTCTGGACTATTACCTGATCTATTCACACATGGGCTCAATCGTATATGACACAGACTTTGTACTGGTGAGCTGGCAGGGTGAAGTCTGTTTAATGTCCGATGCAGCTGATTCGGACATTTGCATTCACACATACAGCTTGGCTGATTTAAAGTGACAGGAACAGCCCTCAGCTTCTCTCTCAAAATACAGTCATTTCATGTTAATATTATAAGTCTGGCAATGTTCAAATTGTTCTTATTTTCAACAATTAGCATGTAAGCCAAAGCCAAGGACGAACTGATCGTACTAACAAGCATTGTCTGTTTTCCACTGCGCCGTAGACCTCCATTGCTTTCCAAACACTATTAAAAACACATCATTCAGCCACACTGTTGCACTGGGTGGCATGTTCTTTTTATTACAGCAAACACAGGCCCTGTAGTTTATTTTGAGTCAGTCCCACATACACCATCCTGCTGACAAAAATACTCACTCGTGTTCGCTCACAAGTATCTCTAGTATTTAAACCGTTTCCATCCAGGAGAATCATTAAATTTTCTGGGCAGCAACACAAACAGAGAGTTATTTGGTATTAACTTTTCACAAACAAGCACGTCACGCCCATATTTGTTCATTCTTTTGGTATGGCAATGGGGCTGTTTAGGAGTTTAGTTTGAAACCTCATGTCTTCAGTGCTCGTTGTGTTTGATGGATTGGGATAGCATGCCATGAGGGATCTGGAGTTGGTTATGTTGTGGCAAAGCCTAATATGCTACCAGCAAAAACATCTCTGGCTCATTGGCCACATTAGAACTCATCCCTGGCTATGGTGCATACATACACACACACACACACACACACACACACACTCAGACACACTGTGTTTCTGTCCCAGATATGCATGCATGCTAATTACACACTTGTGCTCTCTGACTAATGTATACCATACTCTGAGTCGTATACAAGCACGATACAAAGATGCACTCAGAGGCTTTGGAAGCGCGTACACTGACAGACACACGCAGACACGGTCGCCCAATGTGGTGCGCTGTCAATTGGTTTTGCTAGGTTTGGAAAGGGGCCCTCGAAAGGAGCTTGAACTATGTTGTGGTTTTACCCACGTCTCTGTTATGACGTTTATTAATGACTGGGTTGCAGTTGAAGCTTCGTTGGCGCAGCGTCCCGACACTTGTGTCTGTTCGTAGTTAGGCCTGTGCTGTCTGGGTCACTAAACTTACTGGCCTTTACTTTACCTGTGGTTCCACAAAGAGATTTTCATAAGCTCAGTAGCAAAGGGAGTCCACATCAGCCTATCGTAGGAAAAACAAGACCTAGCTTCTTGAGGTTCGTCTTAACCCCTGATCCCTCTAAGTCACCCTATAACTTTACAGCATACAGTATCACAAATATTTAAATACGGAAACCAGCAATCACTAGCTTAGTTATTAGTAGACTCATTTTTTATTCAGCAGTGATCAGTTGAGAACACAAAGAGCAGATTTTCTGTCAATAAAGCCGGGCTTAAACTACAGGAGTTTTAAAATCCTAACGGGTTTTGAAATTGGGTTGAATCATGCACATAAGGAGAGACCTCAGAGACGTTCTGTCTAATCTCAAACATGCACACAATACAAGATTTGAAAATAATCAGACACTACAATATATTCTTATAATTACCCTGCCATAGGGAGCATGAATGCACCACCTCATGTGATCTCCTGGGGAAACAGATGTACACAAAATGGGGACTGACGTGGTGTGACAACTTGCTGTAATCTTAACAGTTCTTTGCGGTGAGGAAAAGCAAATGCAGACAGCTGAACGAGTCTGGAAGAGAAATGTTTTCGAAGACGTAGTCAGCATGGGTTGTCTGTTCTTCAGCAGCTGGAGGTGAGATAATATGAGCAGACCATTAGTACCGACCAAGGTTCCAGATCAGATTCCTCCTCTGATTGTCTGGAGGGGTAGATCAGGGATAAATCAGTCCAAACCTCTTGCAGTCTGAGCTCGGCTTAAGTCAGACTCTTTTATATATCTTAATTTACATGTCAAATATATATCAAGAAACTCCAATGTCTCTAACTCTGTTTCCCTGCCTGTTACCCTGTCTCTTGTTACATCTATCTCTCTGTCCAGATCCACCAGTAACAGCGGAGGTCTCACCATCACCAGTCTGCTGAAGGAGAAAGAAGGCTCAGAAACTGCAAAGTTCACCATGGACGAGCTCTGCCTGATCTGTAGCATCCTTAGCACCGCAGAGTACTGCTTGGCTACCACACAACAGGCACGCACATACAAATAAGCACACAGACCTGAAGTATCTTTGAGTTAGAGCTGCAGTGACAGTATATGATAGGGAGATAGGAGATGATTATCATGTGGGAGTTAGAGCATTTTTGACCTGTGTTTCATCAGTGTTTTGAGGAACTCACAGTGGCAGTTAGGATTACGCAATTTTAAGTCAGCATTTAAAAAAGAGATTAACTCATCTTAAAAGGATACATTCAAAATAATGCAGCTTTTATGTGTTAATATTTGTGTTTTTTGTTTTTAACTGTTCCAGTTGGAAGAGAAACTGAAGGAAAAGGTGGATAAAATCCTAGTAGAGAGAATAAACTTGACTGGGGAGATGGATACATTCAGCACGTAAGTGGCAACTACAAACCAGCAGTGCTTTTCTTACAAACAATAGCCTACCTTCTTTCATGTGAAGAGTCCATTTTAGTGGTGTCAGTTATGTACTTTCATGTTTTTTCAGTGTGATCTCGAACAGTATCCAGCTACTTGTCCAAGATCTGGATGCAGCCTGTGACCCTGCTCTCACTGCTATGAGCAAGGTTGGACACAAACACACTGACACAGACACACAGTCACACATTCAGCTCATATACAGGGTTTCCACACCTTTTAGACATGAAATTCAAGGACATTTCAAGGACTTTGCAGGCTCAGTTCCCCCAAAGTCAAGGACACAGCAAGGCATAGTTTGAGATACAGATCAAGGTTAATTACTGTTACAACACTGAGCAATTTTATGAGAATTAGCCAGCTTTACAGAAGCTCAAGGACAACAATTAAAAAGACAGAAAGGCTTGAAATTGTGAATTTCTAATTGTGCAGTGCTACAGTGACAACAGACAAAATCAAAAGAATTACAATCTCCACTTCCACTCTCTTTCTCTGCGTCTCTTTTTCTCTCTCAGATGCCGTGGCAGAGTGTGGAGCATGTGGGTGACCAGAGTCCTTATGTGACATCAATCATCATGCACATAAAGCAGAATGTGCCAATCATCAGAGACAATCTGGCCTCCACGCGAAAATACTTTACACAATTCTGCATCAAGTTCACAAAGTACGACACATTCACACACACATTTGTAAGCATCCATGAGCCATTATCAAAGGTTCCCGACGTTGATTTGTCACTTCTTTCTTCCCTTAGTTCTTTCATTCCCAAATTTATCAACCACCTGTTCAGATGTAAGCCTATCAGCATGGTGGGAGCTGAACAAGTAAGTTCAACTTAAGCTTATGTGTAAAGTGTACATGTATGTACGCTGTTACATGATTATTACATCAGAGAATTCATTATGTGCACTGGTATATATGTTTAATCTTATCCTATCCTGCCCCACCAGCTCCTCCTCGACACTCACTCCTTGAAGACAGTCTTGTTGGATCTGCCCTCCATAGGCTCCCAGGTGCTCCGCAAGGCACCTGCCAGCTACACCAAGATAGTGGTGAAAGGCATGACCCGTGCAGAGATGATTCTTAAGGTGAGGGGGGTTGGCTGTGCAGCTTGTGGGTACAAGTGTGTGTAAAGGACAGAACCGCCCTGAGATAAATGTTGGAAAAACGCTCAATCTTGCTGTGAAGGCCAGTAGAGATGAATTTAAACAGTTTACTTTTCAGGTATAAACTGAGAAGGAGTTTACGTCTCTAACTGATAGATTTTAATGAGAACTTAAGTTCTTATTCAAATACAAATAGTTCAACTTAAACACATTATCAGTGGCGCTTGATCTTTATGGGACACTTGAGATTTTATGACATTTAACTTGGGTGGCTAAATTCAAGCTGGCCATTTTTACAACCAGAGCTTCACTCTCTGACCTTTAAAGGCTCGGAACTTTAGATAGAGCCTTTTGTGTGAGAGCGGTCTGAATGACTTTTCTTTATCTCTTGTTTGCCATTGTACAGATTTAATGCTGGAACTCTGACATATCCAGTTAAACACAAGCTTTTGGTGTTGACGCTAACGCTTGACCAAGAATAGTCTGGCACAACCTGCAGCTAACTGCTTTTTCCACTGATTGAGGTTCCATCGTAAGAAGTTACAGAAGAAAACATTTCTCCATTGAGTGTTTGAGGTTTGACTGGTGAGCCAGTATTAAAGTGTTTGTTTTGAGTCACTCACGCAGATTATCTACTTAGAGTTTATTTTGGGCAGAATAACCCTTTAATTGTGTCTTTAACCCCACTCACAATAGCACTTTATGAGCATGTTTCCATAAAATAACCCAACTCACACGAGGTGGGGAGGGAATAGGAATGGAGCTCATGCACTGCTGGTTTAACAAGGGTGAGACGGGCCAACACAAGACACACACACACACAAACGTATTCTTTAACACAGTATGTGGTTGACCTTCAGCCAGTGGAAAGGTGTAAGCGCGTAAATAAGTAGATTCATGTAACCATGCGTCTACTCATGAGAACACGTGCAGTTTAACATGGTGAATATCCCATGTTGTTTAGCTTTGCCTCAGAATTACCTTATGGGACCTAAGAGGACACTGGTATGTGGCTGCCATAGATTAACCCCTCCCTAGTTGACTGTCTCTGGAGTGTCCAGAAATGCACACACACACACACACACACACACACACAGAGTACACGCCTGTCCCTTGATTTCCTTTGGAACCCCAGAAGGCTTTGTTTCCTTCCTGAAGTTATGGTGGCTGGGCTGTGTTGATGTTTACAGCAGTTAGTTTGACCTGCTCTAATCGTGCTCAAGGGCTGTCACTTTTTATTTGATATTCGATTGTTTGTTCAACATAGTTAATTCCATCTGTAATGACCTGTTCGAATTCAAAATTTACAGTCTGTGAGCGCAACAAAGTCTTGATTTACAATCTGTATAAGCAGCAGACTGAAAATGGAGGACACCGGAAAACAAAGTATTTAAGAAGCAGTGTGTGTAAGTATTATGGGTTGTACGCCATACTTTAAACAGAAACTAAAGACAAGGCTGTTTTTCGGCTTTTTCACAAAGCAGCCGTCCTACAATGACCACAAATCTGTGGACTAGGGGTGGGCGATATGGGCCTAAAATAATGTCACGATATGTCAAGGTATTTTTGCGATAATGATATTCTTGACATGACAAATTAGCCAAAAAAAAATATACAGCAAAATAAAATTTACCACAAATTACACATTTAAACAACTCCCAAATGCAGGAAATGTACCCTGGGATCTATACATATATAAATCAACAGCTGATTTCCTTCTTTTAGCAAAATCCTTATTGATTGAGTCAGGTTTTTTTTCCACCTGGACCTTTATGCTCGGCCATTTCTCCTCTAATCATCACACTGTAACCTGTGACAGGCTGTTATGATACCACAACTATCACACATTCACATATATGTAGTTTTTTGTTGAGCCTTAAGCATCACGTGGGTTTACATTACCAAAGTTTTATGACAAAACGATACCAATTCCTGTGTGCACATGGTGAGAAAGGAGAGGTGCTGCTGCCGGAGGAGCCACTGAATGAGTTCCTTCTGAGCGGTAATTCGGTAAAAGAGTCTGAGAAGTCCAGGGCTGTTCAAAAAATACTCGGACACCACAGTTTATTACACATTACTGAAGCTGCTCCTCTTTTTGGATCCACTGCGGAGTCGGTAATAATTTCAGCCATGCTTGTTGTTGCCATGGGTAACAGTATGACGTTAATGTCAACAAGTCTAAATATCACGAGTATCATTATCGTGAACGAGATGATATGGCACACCCCTACTGTGGACTCACCTGTAGAGTCAGCTTGCGACTTGAATGAGGCAGCAAAGGCCACAGACAAGTGAAGAGAAGGCAAGTGTACAATCTCGTCTGACTGCCTACTATTCAGCACACACATGCCAGGACCTCTTAAAAATGTTATCACTGCCAAAATAGCAGAATTCATTTGCAAAGCTATGTGGCTATGTGGGGAGAAGGGTTTCAAGATCTCATGATGGAACTTGAGCCATGATAAAGAATTCCAAGTCCCACCGCAATCTCAAAACACATAGTGCATCTGTACAACCCCACACGGGAAAACATTAAGACTTACTTAAGTATAAGGCACTCATTTTTACCACAGACGGATGGATATGGCAAGAGACAGTCAAGGCATCACTTCGGGCTGCAGCGTTCAGATACATTCGATCAAATTGCATGTCGTTTTAAATTCGTTCGATTTTGATTTTTGGAAAAAGTGACAGCCCTATCATGCTCTGCTTTGCTATAATGTTATGTATAATACTATAACCGCTCCTACACTGTGTCTTAGACTCGGGCCTCCAGGCACACTAACTTTGTTTTGTCTCCGACATTGATGTCCAGCAAACCCCTCTCAGTATTTCAGATTTGACAGCCTCTCCGGACTGTTTTTTCACTGCGATGCACGCTGTTCCATATGGCCCCTTTAAAGCTCGTCTCTGTTCCCTGGAAAAATGCCCTGAATATATATACAGTACGTGAATTTCCACTCATCTGCCATACATTAAAGGGGCTTTCACATTATAGAATTATAGAATGCATTCACATCAGCATTCACTGTCTGCTTTTTCAACTGCCAGCGGGCCCCTTCAGCGGGAATGTGATCTATATGGCTCGTGAAGAGCTCTTACAGACGGAGCTGACACTGCATGAAGGCCTCCGAGTGATTCACATTGATAACTGTGACAGCACAAGACAAAATAATCATTGTGGAGGCTAGATATCTGATACTACAAGATCTATTAAAAGAAAAACCATGAGCAAACACCCTATAGAAGAGAATTCAATTCTTAGCAATGATTACAATGATAAGCAAATGATAGGATCCTAATAATAAGATCCAATTAAGCATTGTATTTTGTCCCTGGTAGCAGGAAGGCCTAAAGGGATGAGTTGTTTGTAACAAACAATTTTCAAAGAGCCACACAAAGATTTGTTCTGTTAACATTTTCGGCCTTGAAAGAAGAAAGCCCACACGAGTAAAAAGAAGCTTTTGTACTAAAGCCAGGGTTTTAGCCATCAACTTTGTGCAACATCAAGGTTCCACTCAGGTAATTGCTTCCACCTTGGGCTGAGACTGAAGCCTCTGAAAGACAAATCCATCGAAGGAGGGTCAATAAAAGAATTCCTCTGTCTGGCCTCAACAATAGTTTTGAATTACCGTCTGCGATGCTGTGAGTTGAAATTAAATCTGGCTTACCCCCAACAAGAAACTGCAATTCACTGGGACAATTTAAGAAGTACTTTCAGTTTTCAAAGTTCACTTTGAGATACAAGCAGAAAACCCACTGCAGGATTCCTTGTACATTTTCTTGTCCACTCCAGTGTGAGAAAAGCTTGTGTTCCTCACACTTAAAGTTCTTATCATATATCTAATATATACTTCCTCTGTTGGTTGTTTTTCGTCAGTTGACAATTGAGCAAAACAATATTATTATTATCTCGTGTTATAGCTCCAGAGTTTACGCTAATCAAAACTCTCCAGTTGATGTTCCAGATAGATTTAAAGTAACTATGTCCTTAATTCACCTTATTTTGGCCGCTTGGGAGCAGTGAAACAAATTGTAAACTCAACACTGACATGGAATTATCTTATAAAGTTGTTATGTGTTTAACAGTTGCCTACTTACACATTTAACAACCATAAACATTTATTTGGAGTTTGTGGTGTTGAATCCTGAGGGAAATATTTGACTCTTTAGCTGCGAACAAGTTTCACCAGCTAGCTGATATCTTTGTCTCTCTGCTGTTAGGTGCTGGGCAGGTAGTGCACTATGGTTTATGAAGGCTGCCTTCTGCTGAAGAGAGCAGTAAGACTGACACAAAACAATAAAGTTCTGTGTCCTAAAACCGAAATAAGGAGTTTAAGATAGAAAAAAAATGGCTGTAAAGCTGAGGAGAGCTGTGATCACGCTCTGTGGGTTCATTGTTACCGACCTCTCTTCCATTACTCATTTGATCTGTTGGTGATATACAGTAAAAATATTTATTAGTGCAACTTCAGACTGATGCAATAATGGCTTGCACCTTACTGTAATTTTTTTCAACTTCCCAGTGCTCAGTTGTGTTCAAAGTACGTAGGATTCTTTCTGTCTGTCTGAGACGGCCTCTCCTGGCCGGTTTGATGCCTGTGAGACGTGGCTGTTTTCCACGCTCCTCCAGCCCAGCCCACCATAGCTCCAGCTCCCTCTCCCACCTCTCAAGTTCTCTCTTCTTTGGGAGTATTTAAAAGGAACCCCCCCCCCCCCCCCCCCCAGCCCCCCCCCCCCCCCCCCCCCCCCCCCCCCCCCCCCCCCCCCCCCCCCCCCCCCCCCCCCCCCCCCCCCCCCCCCCCCCCCCCCCCCCCNCCCCCCCCCCCCCCCCCCCCCCACACCAGCACCACCACCACCACCACCACCCCTTCTTCTCCACCCTTGTTCAGCCTGAATGCCCCCTCACCACCACCCCCTTTCTTACTCTGTTCCTCTCGCTCTCCCTTTTTATGCCCATTTTCATTCTTAAACTCCCTCTCCCCCTTTCTTTCCCTTTTTTACAAGGTCCCTACAGGCCTTTCCCTTGGCCTGGCTCCAGGACAGTTGCTAAGTAAATCACTCAGTCAGCCAGGCTAGTAAGAAAGCAAAGAATTCCACACGATCCTGAGCCTTTCATGCCTGCTCTTCTCTCTCCTTCTCTCCTGCCTCTTGATTCCTGAACTCTCTTCCTGTGCAGCTCACCTTCTCATATATTTTACTTTGAGTAAAAAGAGAACACAATGAAAGGATAGATTTGGTCTTTTTTTTTTATTGAAGAGAAGCAAAGGAGAAAAATTGTGTGAGATGATCCCTGCATGCATGCGTATGCATGAGATGGGAGGTGGGGGTCTGTCAGCCATGTGTTGGTCTGCCTGCTTTGTAGCGGCTGCAGGAATTGCTACCCGATCCACGTTTTCCACCCAGTCTCTATTGTTGGGAAAAAAACAACCAGTAGAATCCAATCCAGAGAGACATGTGCCCCATTAAACCTTTTCTGCCTGCTCTTGACTAATGCTGATATTCGCCCAGACTCATTATACCCCTGAAATAATTACCAGTGAAACCAATTCTTGCCCACCAATGCGTGGAGTAATTGGTGTGTAAAAGGAAAAAAGAGTGAGGAGTGGGCTTTCTAAATATAGAAACATTGTCTCGACTTTGTACGCAGTTAGAGGAACCACTCAGTTTTGTCAGTTGTAGCCCGCTTATTCCTCATTTGGGCCATAGCTGCCCCATGTGGGATCATTTAAAGATCTCTTGGGTCGTCCCATGATGGTTCACAGGAAAAGAGGGAGGGGTTGAAACTAACATTACACTCTACTTTCCCGCAGGTGGTGATGGCCCCACATGAACCACCAGTGGTGTTTGTTGACAACTACATCAAGCTCCTGGCTGATGGAAATCCTGAGACCTTCCAGAAGATTCTGGACATGAAGGTCAGTTGGATTTTATGTGTAATTTAAAGGAATAGTTTGGTGTTTTGGGGAAGAAGAAGACTCTCCTGTGTGTATGTTAAATATAGAGCTAGTTATCTTAGCTTATTAGGAGGAAACAGCTAACCTGCATCTGTGTGAAGGTAACAAAATCTGCCCACCAGCACCTTTAAGGTTCCCTAATTAACATCGGCACATAACCCCTCGTCAAATCACAAGTTGTAGTTTTCCCTTTGGTTTCTGCGTAGATTTAACAAACAGGATATTTTGTGTTATTAGTGAGCTATAGAGGTGCTGGTAGGTGGATTTTGTTACCTTTAAAGCTGATTGATTGCTGGCCCCAGCTTCAACATGAACATACAGGTTTGAGGATGCTATTTATCTCCTTGTTTAACTTTAGGCAGAGAAAGCAAATAAGCATTTTTCCCAAAATGTGAAACTGTTGCTTTCACATCATACTTTGCTGCTGTAATCTCATCTTTTTCTGTTTTGCATATGTTGTCTAACCTGCTGCTGTGAACAAACACTCTCCTAGTTTTGCATTTTCTTCTTCAGTTTTTCTAACACTTTGAATTTCCTCCTGTGTTTATGTGTACTTGTGTTTGTGAAGGGCCTGAAGCGCAGCGAACAGAGCAGCATGCTGGAGCTTTTCAGACAGAGGCTACCCACTCCACCCTCCGGGGCCGACGGCGGCCCCTCTCTCTTCAGCACCCCCACCCCCGAGCAGGAATCCTCCCGCATCCGCAAACTAGAGAAGCTCATCAAGAAGAGACTCTGAACAAACACACACTAAAATCTTGAAAATTAACAAAGCTGCTGGCCGGGGCGGGCGTCACATCTCTCGCAGTAATTCTCAAAGACTTCATTTTGCTCCGTTCAGTTATCATGGATAAGAAAGAGCAAAACGTAGACTGAATTTTCTGACTGACAGTGATGTGAACACAAGATGACGCTGGATAATGAAGAAACTTCCTCAAATGCTACTTGCTGTTGTTACATGTTTCATTTACCTCTGTAATTTCCCACCTTCCTTTTTTTATGACACCAACGTCTACGCTTTGTAACATTAGTATTGCACAGTGTATATGCACTCAAAAACAACTGTAGCACTGTTAACTAAACTCTGCTCAGAGCGCCTCTGGCTGCCTCTCTGGGACACGTCTAATCAACAATGACTACACGCAGCCTGATCTTAATTAACCTGTTTTAATTTCAAGTGTGGGTTGAAATCTGTTTAAAGTGGACATGCGTCATAAGAATGAGGACTGTTTTTGTGAATGGCGGCCTAAAATTTATTACTGTCCTCCCAATTTAAAGTCTGGGACAAAGAGAATCTTTGGATTTCCTGCATGTCCTGTCAGACATGAGGCCATCTTTGTCTTGGCATTTAAAATCCCTCTAGGTCGACTTGGAAATTAGAACCAGCTAAGTGAAGTCTTTTAACTTGGGCCATTGCCTGGGGTGTATACTGTATACATCGACATACCAGTCAGTACACATGTGTGCGGTCAGTCTTATTTGTTTAACTGTCCAACAATTTTCCCTGGTAATTTAATCCCCTGTCATATTTGCATTGACATGAAACATGGGTTTGTTTTAGTGCATCCATCCCTCCATATCCACAACAGAACAGAACGGGCCTCTTTATAGACAGTCTATGGTCTCAATACTTTGCTCTACTACTCTGAAGCTGCATGTGTGTACATCACAGTCTCTGGAGGAAAATCAGTCATTTGAAGTCACTGGTTTGATGGCAGTGCCTCTCTGTTGTAGTAAATCAAGTAACTGTAGCTGCGTAAGTGTACACATTCCTGCCTTCAGGTACAAAATGTTGCTTGTTTGTATTGTCTGAATTGTGTGCTACACATGCAGCTGTTGAACACTATTAAAAACATTGCCACCACTTTTCCCTTGTGCTTCATCAACTGGCTGTTTCGTGCTTCTTTTTACACTTTATGCACAATACCAGGAAAAAAAATATCAACCTGAGTTTACCAGGAACCAGCTTTGAATGAAGGGCTGGAAAAGTTCCCATGACCAGTCTCTGGTTGCCACTTATGCTCCATCCAATCAGGAGCCTGCACACAGCTTCAAAAGGCGTTTCCTTTGGTGTGTTTGTGGATCTGAAGGCGACTGCGAGGGAGAAGTTTGAAGACGAGCCGCGGGCAGCAGGACCCCCCTCACACATCCTCTCTGTGCTCTTTACACACTCACAACAGAGCTGGGTTATGCTTTGATGTTTCTGAATGTCAAAGTAAAGGACAGTTTTAAAGTTTTTTTGGTTTTGGAGGTCTCCCAGTTTGGACTGAACCACCGCCCGGTTGATGATATTTCCAGCGCGGGCAGCTGTGCATCCTGTCCGGGGAGAGGTGAGCTGAAACACCGTGGGACTTCGCAACAAACCAGAGGACGTAAAAAAATCAGGAACTGTTATCTGGACGTGTTTCTGTTTCGTAACCTGCGTTTCACTCGCTGGACTTTTGCAACTTTTCTCTAGAAATGGTTGGCAGGTTGAACTTGCCAAATGTATGTGAAGGAGACCCGCTGGATATGAGCTGCAGGGCGGAGAGAGGACTTGACAGCCCGGACTCCGGGTTACCCCCGAGCCCGAGCCCCAGCGCCTGGCTGCTGCCTGTGTGTGCTGATAAAGCCGGGGGCGTGAGCCCGGTGTCTGAGGACGAGGGACGGGGCTCCCTGGTAGGTCACACTGCTACCTGACCATATGCTGTCATTTAATCAACATACGAACTTTGTTTGGAGCTTTGCAAACCACCACAAATTGCAACTGAACATTTATTTTAAAAGCCAGTATATTATATATGCCAGCTAGTTTCCACAAATGCATTGTGTAGTTTAATCCTACAAAACTGCAGGTTTGCATTGCAATATATGTTGCCACTGCACACAGGAAGTTAGCCACACCATGCCCATTGATTCCTGACTCTCTGTGAGCCCATTTTTAGTTAAATAAACCATTTTGTTGAAGCATCCCTGTGAGAACTTGCTGCATGTTCAGGCCAACTGGGGAAAGTGGGTCACTTCAGCACTGAACTGGACCTATGAGAACTTTGTGTTGACTGTGAGGTTGTTTTTTTTTGCACTGCAGGTTCCAGTTTTGCCCACCGGATCTTTCCAGCAGCTGCACCCGTTGTCCTTTGGGGAAGGCATAGCGATTGATCCATTGCCAGCGAAGGAAATAAGGTGGGTTGGCTTTAATGTGACTTGTTCTGTGCAGTGTTAGACCTGCTGGATGTGCACTAAAGTGGCACACCATGGGGGCATGCAGGCTGTGGTATTTTTATTTTGATATGTACCTAGAAGGCAAACAACTGCAGAGTGTGTGCATGAGCAAACAAGACAACAGTGGACTTGGACAGACCTTGCATTGATGCAGGTTATAGGCAGACTGGGGCTTCAGTTAACGAATATTTTCATTGTCCGTTAATGTGTAGATTATTTTCCTGATTGATAGATCAGTTGTTTGTCTATAAAATGTCAGAAAATGGTGAAAAATGTTGATCAGTATTTCCCAAAGCCATGGATGACGAACTCAAGTGTCTTGTTTTGTCCACAACCCAAAGATAATCAGCTTACTGTCACAGAGGGGCAAGGAACCTAGAAAATATCCACATTTCGGAAGCTGGAATTGGAATTTCCACTGCTGCTCTGATGCAAACTAGTTTTGCACCAAATAAAACCCTTACACTGTCTCTCCTGCACAGATACACCTCATCTGTGCACTACGACTCGGACCGCCACTTCATCCAGGGCGTGGCCCTACAGCCCACGGGCCAGGGCCTTGAACACTGCATGCAGACCATCATGGCCGTGCCCCACAGCACCTGGCGCCACTACAAGACACAGCTGGAGTTCCAGCCTCGCCATCGGCCGCAGCACTTCCAGAGCACCACCATCATCTACCCCAAGAAAACCAGCACACTCTACACCACAGAGCTGAGCTACGACTGCCACCGACTATCCAAACGTTTCCTCTCCAGCGTGGAGCTGGAGATGGTCGGCCGCAGGGAGCTACCTCAGTGAGGGCGGGGACAGGTGCTGGGGACACACAAGGGTGGTTATTCCCATGACACCTATACTGCCGCTGACCTGCTGTGTTGTCTTTTAACAGTTGTGTAGCCTGTTATCTTTTTAAGTACCCCTCCTACGCTGTGGACAGGAAGCACCTGTGCTGTGATGTTGCAGATATCAGATGACAAGACATGGACAGAGTGGGTTAGATATCCATCCAGTACATGTCTCCATGTTTATATTCCTGCCAGTGGTTGATCCATCAGTGGGAATGGACGTTTCATTAAATGCTTCAACCTTGTAGCTTGTTGGTTTCCGAGGCATGCTTGTATCTGATTTGTTTTTACAGGCTGTAGGATTGACTCGTGGACTGGGATGAGGAGAATACGTCTCTGCCCTCAGCAGACTCTCCTCACGTCACATCAAGTTGGTCAAATAACAGAGTGAGGGAAGGAAAGGGAAAATTTAAATGTGGTGCTGGAGTTTGCGTGCATGCTAAGAACTCACTAACTTATCCACACTGTTTGTTTCTTCACAGGGTATTGTGTGTTTCTGCACAACTTAGACACAAGCTAAGCTCTTCCCAAGCCTTCTCTCTGGCCACTGTTGCAAGTCACAATGTGTTATGTAAATGTTGGTAGATTAAGGGAATGTATGTTTTCGCTGTGATGTGTGCGCGTAGACAAACTGATTAAGCAGGTAGTATAGATGGATTATTATGAGTGTGGAGTTTACTGAGAAGTGGATTTTTTGATATCACTCACTGGCTTTCTAGTGACAATAACAAGCTGCATTCCACTGCCATCACTTTCTCTGGCTTGACTTGGATTGAAGTTGTATTTATTCTTTTTAGTTTTAGGTTGAGATTTTATCAGCTGTTTAACGGGTCTCTCCACAGTCATGGCAAGGGATATTTTGTGATGCCCCATGTGCCTTATTGATGTATCTGTTGATGCTGTTTTTATATTAGTCACTTATTCAGTGCCAGTTTGAAATAAAGACTTCATCAGTTCAACGATTTTGTATTTTATGAGGAGGTAGCGGCGTGGGTTTTCTCCAGGTACTCCAGCTTCCTCCCACAGTCCAAAGACATGCAGGTTAATTGGTGAGTCTAAATTGTCCGTAGGTGTGAATGTGAGTGTGAATAGTTGTCTGTCTCTATGTGTCAGACCTGTGATAGTCTGGTGACCTGTCCAGGGTGTACCCTGCCTCTCGCCCAGTGTCAGCTGGGATAGATTCCAGCCCCCCCCCCCAGTTACAGTTACAGAAAATGATAGAGTGAGTGAAAGAATGAGGAGGTAGTCCTTGTCTGATTTAAAGATGACAGCAGACAGAGGTAGTTATTCATTATTTTGGCCCACAAAGTGAACACACTAACAAACTTTCACCACAGGAATGTCGTGTCTAAAAAGAAGCTGCTGGAATGATGTGTGTATGATCAAGTGATGCTAAATTTCCTCTTCAGAAGAGAAATAACTTTTTCTTTTTAAATGTTTTTGATGCTTTGAGCGCCTCCACTTAATATATTCAACCACAGTGAATTACACTACAACAATCTGGGTAGATGGATGTGCTATTGATCTCATAAGGTATGATACATTGATTTTGGGTGAACTGTCCCTTTTTAAGGGAAGACATCCCAGGTGAATAGGGAAACTTTTTTAACACATAAATATCACCATGAAACTTCCCTAGGTGATTACTTATATTAAGGCAATTTCTTTTTATCTTAAAGGTTTTCTGAAATTTAAATATGCACCAATTTGCATACATTTCCACAACATAAATCTGAACACTGGATAAAGCTGGTTTAAAATTTCTTGCCTTATTTTGTTGACATATTAAGAGTCAGAGGTTTTTGCAAATATAGTTTTTGATATCTCTTTTTATTACTCTATAAATCAGAAAATATTGTAAACAGTAAAAAAAAAATCCATCATCCATCTATCACCCTGTTTTTCGGAATAAAATGTTTAAAAAAAATCAGGCTATAAATGATATATGAACAAGCCCCTCTGTGAAAATCTTTTGAATATAGATGGGAATAAATCTGGGGATGTCTGGCTCAGAGTATGAGAAAAAACATTTTGAGAAAATTGCCCTTAAAGATGCGTATTGTAAAATTACATATATTTTTAAGACGCTACAGGTGAACAGAGTTAAACTATATCACCAACTTCATGTTTTTAATACGTTGTCTTAAACTTTATGTTTGAATATGGAAATGAAGCATTATCAAGGCTAATTATATATGCAATTTTCCAATAAATTTCCAGAACTGAAATCTGAACTAAACAGCTAAATGTCTATTTTTATTTTCTTTCCACCTGTCTGAAAGAAGACATTTCATGGAATCAAAATAGCCCAAAATCTTAAAATTGATCAGTGCATGAAAAACCTGTGTTTTCCCCTGGGGTATTGAGCATAGACTGTATAAAAATAGGTATTGAGTCGGATCATGAGACTCAGCATGATGAGAAATGCTTTTAGGATGCTTTACTGGCCTCCTGTGGCCAGAGAGGGAAACTCCTACAGGAGACATTCTGTCATTCCATAGTGAAGTGAATTCTGTGCTTCAAATCACATTTTCAACATTACAGATCATAAGTTGGGTTTTAGTGATGTTGTGTTGACTAGGTGCTACACAGTGGAGACACTGACATAACTGGGATAAGCAAGATAACATGCAATTGACCTAGTATCAACATTATCAGTACAAAGTACAATTTACTGCAATTGTCATATTACAACAGCCTCAGTCTTTATAAGAAGTGTTATTTGGGAAGATTGTTCTAGTGGTCACTGTAAATGATTACAGGGACACAATGACATAGAAAACACACCAGAAAGCCCCTTTCTGATAGCAGTCACAAGTTTGTAACTTTTAGCTTTTTACTTATTTCACAAAGAACAAATAACACATTTTCTAGTACATAGCATCTGTCTACCTTACAAGCACCAAGTCTGTTCAAATGCTTGGCTTTATGGTGTGTAAAAATTACCACAGCATTAGTGCTTATTCCTTCAGTTCAGTGTTTTCTTAGCATTTCTGTGCCAGAGGGGTTTCCTCAGAAGAAGCCTCCACCAGTGGCAGTCCTGACCTGATGAGAGCTGAGGAACAGTAGGTATTGGGTAACCTCTTGCATCATCTCCTCAGTATATTTCACTTTCTGTTCTTTCACAACACATCTCACCCAATGTTGCACTGATGGAGCTGCTTTTCACAACCAACGGTAAGATAAGAGATTATGACCTGCCAAGTATTATGTATTTGTTTTATTATTTATTTAACAGGGACAGTGCAGAGCTATTTAGCTGCACCAGAGTTAGCAATAAGCGGATTTTCATCTGAGGTCCCTGGGCAGGAAACAGAGAATAATTTATCTGCTAAAAGACACTGTAATGTAAAAAAAAAAAAGCACTAACAATAGCAAGAAAAAATGAAGTTTTCTGTTGCAAAACAATTAAAGACAGAACGTTTTCTCCATTCTGTCTTGTATTTAAATGTTGCCTTTGTTTTTTTAAATAATTATCTGTAGGATAAATGTTTGATGGTCAATGTCATTTGGGGCTATAAAAAATTAGATATGAGTAATAATAATAATAATAATAATAATAATAATGATAATAAGGGGCTTAATATATTTATATATTATTTATATATTTGCTATATAGGAAGTTATTGGAATTGTTTGTATGTCCCTACTGTGTAAGCCCATTTCAGCAAGTTATTCTAATTCCAAAATCTCAGTGCAGCATTTTAGTGATCTGTAAACTCGAGAGGTAACTTTTCCCACAGAACTTGAAGGCAGCTTTGAATGGATCAGTATGACGTACCAATTCTAAGGTTGGTTTTTCGATAATATATTTTTTAACACAAAATGACACAATATTTACAATACAAACTAGTTAAACTAGTAAATGGATGTTTAAGATCTGAAAAATAAAATAAAACACATAAACACACATGTTGTTTTTTGCATGACGTATGAGTTCAGAGGTCGCAAAGACACGCCCACATTTCTTCCTCTCATGGTGGATTGAAGCAGCGTTGTTTGTTCCTCCGAAGTAAACCTAGCTATATCTGTGTTTCTGTTTGCGACTGTGTGGGGTTATATGGACTATATGCACTTTGTTATCGACTTTGAAACGATGAAGTAAATGCCAGACGACAGAATTCAACCTCAAACGAAACTTTACTCTTGAATATTGGAGTTGTTAGCTTGTTATGCTAGCTGGCTAACAGTGCTGCTTGTGTAAAATGAAGACCTCAAACGGAAACACCAGTATCATGGACATGTTTGAAAAGGGGAAGGTCCTGAAAATATGTGCTCCGATGGTACGATACTCAAAGTAAGTGGAGACTGTTGTATTTCCATAATGGTAGCTACTAATTCCCTAATGTTTTGAAGTAATAAATGTATGAATTTCAAGGTGCAAACACATTTTCCTCATGTGCTCTGTTCTCCTGTATTAGACATACTGCAGGTACAGCTACCCTTTATTGAGTGTCTGTTGCAAACTATGCTCACCACAGTTTTTTCTGTCTCTCCACAGACTTGCATTCAGGTCCTTGGTGAGGAAATACAACTGTGATATCTGCTTCACCCCGATGATAGTTGCTGCAGACTTCATGCGATCGATCAAAGCCAGAGATAGTGAATTCACCACCAATGAGAGTGAGTTGCAACATTGCATTATGAGCTGAATGTAATAGTGCACTATCATAAGTCTTGCTGCTCCACCACTTCCCATAGATAGCATCCAAACACACAGATATCTTGTAACACGATGACTGTGTTGTTTAGTGTGGGTTTTGCACAAACTGCCTTATTGCTGAGAAATTGTAAAACTTCGTTGCTATCACCATTTATTCTTGTTCCTTTTCCTCTTCAGGTGACCGGCCCCTGATAGTGCAGTTTGCCGCCCATGATGCCCAGACTCTTGCTGATGCGGCCTGTGTGGTAGCACCTTTCTCAGATGGAGTTGACCTCAACTGTGGCTGTCCCCAGAGGTGCAGTGACTGACTGAAGGCCCTGGTACAATTTGGCCATCAGTCTCTTTTTCATTACTCTCATATGTCAGCATTTTGATTTTCCTAGAGAATCAAAAGCTCACAGTTTGCACAACATAGGAATTAACCACCCTGCACCCTGAACATTCTTGTAAATCTGTCAGAAATTTGGTTTTATCTAGCTCATTGGATTAACTTTGTTGCTGTGTTTTCAGATGGGCAATGTCAGCTGGGTATGGTGCATGCCTCATCAACAAGCCTGAACTTGTGAAGGACATGGTCAGACATGTCAGGAACCAAGTGGACAATCCAAACTATACAGCCTCCATCAAAATAAGGTAAAAAAAAATGAACCAGATTGACATTAAACTTAATTATACATGACACAGTTTGAGCACTGGCAACTTTAATTTTTAATGTTAAAATGTCCTGCACAGTATTCTTGCTTACATTAAAAAATTAAGGGATCTGGGCCAAGATTGGTTGTTTGATGTTGAAGAAATTACAATTAGACTTTGTATTATAGCATTTTTAAACTCCAAAATTTGAATGTCAGCACTTGCCTCAGTAATCCAGTATTAGTTGGACTGTACATTTAATTGTATGTGGTAAAAATACATTTTGCAAGTGTCAGAATACATGAATTAATGCGTAATTGCGGGGCGGCAGTAGCTCAGTCCATAGGGACTTGGGTTGGGAACCGGAGGGTCGCCTGTTTGAGTCCCCATCTGGACCAAAATATGGAGCGTGGACTGGCGGCTGGAGAGGTACCAGTTCACTTCTTGAGCAAGGCATCGAACCCCCCAACCGCTCGGGGCGCCTCACCAAGGGCAGCCCCCTCACTCTGACATCTCTCCACTTTGTGCAAGTATAGGTCCTGTTTGTGCATGTGTGTGTCTTTTGGACCTGTGTGTAATTGACAAGCAAGAGTGAAAACATTGAATAAAGACCATTTCATTTCACCCACAGAATTCACAAGGACCTGAGGCGGACGGTGGATCTGTGCCAGAAAGCTGAATCAGCAGGTGTGTCATGGATAACAGTTCACGGCCGTACAGCAGAAGAGCGCCACCAGCCAGTCCATTACGATGCCATAAAGACAATCAAAGACAGCGTGTCCATCCCCGTCATTGCCAATGGGGACATAAAGTACCTCCGTGATGTGGAGTCCACTCACCAGCTTACTGGTGTCGATGGTAGGGTTTCTTTTGCAAGTACACTCACAGCTCATGACAGATGTGTAAATCTCAATATTCCTTTCTAATTTATTCATCTTGTGTGTTTGGATTGTCTCACCAGGTGTGATGGCTGCACGAGGGTTGCTTGCAAACCCTGCCATGTTCACCGGCTATGAGGATACTCCTTTGGAGTGTATTTGGGACTGGGTGGACATTGCCATAGAGCAGGGCACTCCATTCACATGCTTCCACCATCATCTTATCTACATGCTGGAGAGAGTTAGCTCCCAGCCTGAGAGGAAAGTGTTCAATTCTCTGTCCAGTACCTCAGCTGTAATAGATTACCTCCAGAACACATATGGACCAGTGCATGATCTGGGAACATAAGAGTATTGAGTTGTGATATTTTTTATTTTTATTTTAGCATTTTTTATTTTATTTTTATGACAAATTAAACTGCAAAGCCACATATGTATCACTGATGTCATCTTTATTGCTCTGTGTTCTCCAGTTAAGCCTCAACAGTAATCATGCAGCTAATGAAACAATAGCAAATTATTGGTAATGCTTGTCTTAAACAGTGAGGAGTAGGAACATGCTACTGTAGCTGTGCACCCACAAAGGACTCAAGAATTTTCATCAGTTATATCAATGATGTTTCATACAGAACAATATTCTTTAAGTCATCAAATGTAATTTTTTTTAAAAAATGTCATGTCAGTTGTTCTGCTCATGTGCATACGCAGCAATCAAAGTCGTAATCAGAAAAATTCTAATACACATTTCATGACCGAAAAAGGAGAAGGGAGAGGAAATCAATCTCATTTTACCTGCCCCTCCCTCAAAACACAAATAATCATAACATAGATGTTCTGTCAGTTACAGTTACCAATACTTAGAGTAACTTCAGAAAGAAACATTAATACGTAAACAGAAGACAAGGAAGCCATACACAGTGTCCCCCCCAACAAGGAACCAGCTTCTACACAACAACTTCAAATAGTCCAATTGCTCTTTCTTTATACATTTTCTTAATCTGAAACATTTACACAACCCTTTAAATCACTCTGTAGAGAATTCCACAGTTCCCACCACTGAAATATACATTTGTTTTAATGTAGTCCACGCAAACTGGTGCTCAAAGAGAAATTTTCCTCTATACTCATCGTCCTCTGAAATAAAAACGAACAACTTTTGTAAATGTTCTGGAAACACTGCATTTTGCTTTACACATATTTAACAGCGTCTGTAAATCAACTAAGTCTTTAAATAGTCATGTGTTGTCTTGGATTTAGTTTATGAATAATTATTACTGCTCTATTCTGTAATGTAACCAATGGCTTCATGTTACTCACATACATGTAGCCCCACACCTCCACACAATAACTAAAATATGGCAAAATAGTGAATAGTACAGAATTCTCATTGCCTTGCAATCTAACATATACATTGCTTTTGTTCAGCACAAAAATATTTTTAGACACCTTTGTCTTTACATGTTCTATATGAGATTTCCATGATGATTTCACTGAGTGACAAAAACACTGTTAACAGTACTTTTCTCTTCTGAGCTCTAGCTTTTTGGACAGAAATGTTTTTTTTCCTCTCTTTACTGACAATGATTACTTATTTATGTGTGAGTATTTCAGTGGCAGAACTGAAATAAACACTAAGTTAATAGACAGAAATTCTGCAGTTGGTGTCCTTTAAGGAAAGACAAAATGTGTGTACTGAGTCTATGTGAAGAGAGGGCAGCAAAGAAGTCAGAACACAGTAAAATGCTTGAAAATCTTGAAAATCCTGATATGCCACACCTGTCAGGTGGATGATTTATCTTGCTCAGTAACACAGATGATAACAAATTTGCAGCCAAAATTTGAGAGAAACATATCTATGGAATTAATATGAAAGAAAAAGGATTAGATAAAAAAAAAAAAAAAAAGGTATCACAAACAAAAGTCTTGCGTTAAACTAGTTTTATTTTGGAAGAACAAAGACCGGAAGTAAGGTCGTTCGCGCGAGCTCTCTGGAGCAAATACAGGAAGAGGAAGCAGCCAGAGTTTTCTCTCAGGTTGAATTAAGAAGTTTATCTTCTTTTAGTCCGTATCTTTGTCGATTTGCTGGTGAGTTGAGTTTCTGTATGCCTGAATACTGACATGAACTTAGCTACTTAACCTCGTTATAGCCATTTTAAAATGTTTAGCTAGTGTAGCTAACGCTGACGCTGTTTCTGAATTGCCCAGAATAGTTTAACGTTAGCGTTCTTTTAAGGTAACGAGTTCGAAGATGGACAGAGGATAAAAAGTGTGAAAGGTTTTATAAAAGCGTACGCGTGTGTTAAGGATGTCACGCTCGCTGTGTGTGTGTGTTGTCACATATAACTTGTGAGGGGGTCGCTGTAGGGTACGCAGACTGTTAGCGTGGGTTTGACAGAGTTAAATGTGGCTTTGTGAGTTTATGTTAAGGTATGTGGACTGTGAACAGGTTGGATTAGCAGCTCAAGTTAGACTTTTTCTCAACTGAGGCTGCATTGTTGTCCAAGTGAGGTAAAAGCCACACACGCTAGCTAGCTGAAACTTCCAAAATGACTCAGCTTTGTGGTCTCAGTAGTTTTTATTTATTTGTTTTTGTCAGAGAGGCTGCTCATGACCCAGTTTATACCTGTTATTCTGTAAGATTTCATGTCTGTTTTCATCAGGGTATCTTTAGAGACCCTCACTAAAGATGACGCTGCAATGGACTGCTGTGGCCATCTTTCTCTACGTGGAGATAGGCGTCCTTGTCATCCTCTGCATACCCTTTATCTCAGCCAGGAGGTAAGTCAGAATCGTGTGTGTGTTGTAACATGTTGCCAGTGTCTGTAATGATTGTGATTATGTATCTGTGTGTGGTTGCAGGTGGCAGAGTATATTCCAGCTGAGGATCTGGAGCTGGATGGCCAGATTCTGGAACAAAGTGTTTCTCACAATGATCATAGTACTTATTGTTCTCTTCCTTGGTAAGTCATACATGAAGTGTGTCAGGTGTTTTCCTCTCGACGTTGTGAATACTGTAGGTAATAACTAAAGGTTAGACTTGAGATGACATGAACTGTTGAAACAGTGAGCAGGAGGGATTTTTTTACATACTGTGCAATGCTGTGAAAACAAACAAACAAACAAAACTATGCTTCCAGTATGGGTCAGTTATGAGGGCCCCTATCTTCTGAATGTTTGGTCATTTAAGTTAATCAAACCACAATCTCATAGTTTGTCATGTAGTTTAACATGTAGGAAAAAAAATGTTCAAATGGAAAGGGGTGAGGTCAGAAAGTGATTGCTCTCTGACAGAAGAAAAAGAGTAACTTTTTGTGATTGCTGATTGCTTACATAATTTTTTCTTTAGATGCAGTACGTGAGGTGAGGAAATATTCATCCAGAGAGCTTGGCACAGATGCCAAGGTGCAACCTAACATGTATGATCACCTGCACATGAAGCTGTTCAGAGCCCAGAGGAACCTCTACATCTCTGGCTTTGCCGTCTTCCTTTGGCTGTGAGTCTTTGCTCTCTTATACTAATGCACAAATGACAAATCAAATGTGTTTCTCAAACCTTTATTATGCCATTGTCGTGTTGCAGGGTCATGAAGCGAGTGGTCACCTTGATCAACCAACTGGCAGCAGTGTCCGGCACTACAGCTGCTCTTCAGGCGCAGGCTGACAATGCTAACAAGGCTGCCAAGAAATACATGGAGGACAATGAGCTGCTGAAACAGGTGGGGTCCACATTGGATGGGCAAATATGCAAGGTTGTCATTGTGCTTTAGGGCTGCAATGATTAGTCGACTAATCAATGACTAATCGACTATTAAAATAATTGGTGGCTATTTTAGTTGTCAACTAATCGGGTTGAGTCATTTTTCATAGAAAAGTACTATAAAAGTACCCCAAAATACAGCTTTACACACTCTCATGAAGGTGAACTAAAACCCTTTGGCGTGAGGACGAAACAAGACATTAGATGACATAATTTTGGGGTTTGGGAGAGACAGACCAACATTTTTCAACATTTTAACACATTTTTCAATAAAATGATTTGTCGACTAATCGAAGAAATAATTGACAGATTAGTCGACAATGAAAATAATTGTTAGTTGCAGCCCTACAGTGCTTAGATAAATCCATAACTGCAAAATCTACACCAGACAGTTAATAATGTTGACGGTACTGTTGAGTAATGAAACTGATTTACCTGTACCTGACATATGAAAGTTATCATTTTTGTGTCAGATTGTAGATTTTGTTTGTTTCATTTAATCTCTTGGTTTGTCAGGATTCCATTTAGATATTTTTAGGCAGTTGAACACATCTTCAGTTATTTAAGGTGGGACCTCTGGGTGTTTTTTGTCACTTATCATCAAATCCCCATGTCCAGGTGAAAGGCCAATGTGGATCAGTTTTTTATGTCATGGGACTCCTAGGATGCCAACTGGAGTGTACACAAGGTGGAGTGCAAGTCTTCAGAGCACATTAAGAGGCAGACATCACTTACCCTTAACACACTTGTCTACCAAACCTTCACACTTGGTTTGATTCCCTTCAGTCACCACCTCCAGCTCAAAGTTATTATAGTTAACTGGGGCACCCACTAACTCACCATGTATAGCAGGCACCCCATGTAAAAAGGCTGTGTCCTTGCTGCAGCGGCCACGGGTTTGATTCCAATCTAAGGCCCTTTGCTCTCGCCCCTTCACACTATATCTGTCCTATCAAATAAGGGCAAAAGCCCCCCCAAATATCTAATAAAAAGTTATTAACGTTAACTAAAACTGAAAAAAATGTCAACCAAAATAAAAACTAGACTTTAGGAAAACTGAGTTTTATTCTTTGTCAATTTGTGAGTAAAACAAGCAAAAGGAGGCATTGGTGCATATGTTTATTGAGACTGTACTGTCTACATGACTGTGAGTCAGTTGCTTCACAATAAATACTCCCCAGTTGCTTCACAATAAATACCCCCCACTTCATCAGAGTTACACGTGTCTGATAAAGAGCTGTATTTCATGTCCTTGTGACTCATGCCATTTGCTGTATTCCAGACTCTGATGGAGGGGAAGGGTGACAAGGCCACTGCAGAGGGCATGGAGCTGCTGAGGAAAGAAGTGGAGAAACTGAAAGACGAACTGAAGACCTCAGGAGATGGTTAGTATCCATGCACATGCGCACATTATTTGCTTTTAGACATGTTAGTGTCAGATTCCAGGGAAGTTGATAGAAGAACTGTAGACTGTAAAATTTGTCACATCTAAAGACACTGAGGATGCCCTGTACTGATGCGTACTTGTTTCCTCTCCAGCCTTGAAGAACTCCCAGTCAGAGGCAGATGTGATGAGGAAGCAGATGGACGGCCTCGCCAGGGAGTACGACAGACTGCTGAAAGAACATCAGGAGCTCCAGGTAATGCTGAGCTGTAAACACAGCAGGATAATGACTTGTTGGGTCATTCACTACTTAGATATAACCACTTCAGAGAGCCACTGAGACTGATTAACAACAGGCAGGTGGGAGGCAAGGCTCCTCTGTAATTCACATTTTAACAAGCCTTTCTATTTCATGATTAACTTAAAGCCTATTGAAGTAAGTGCTTGGGACTAAGAAACACACAATAGGTAGATTTACCACAGATAAGTGAAATAGAGTTTGAAAGTAAAGCTGTAGTAATAACCACAATGCGTTATTGTGGACTAACATCGTCACACATAAACTGACATTTTCTTTTCCTTTCTTTTTCCTGTCTTTTCAGAATCTTCAAGATAGCGGGAACAAAAAGGAAGACTAGTTTTTGGAAAGTCCCCCGAGGTTGAAGTGTTTACACAGCAGATTAGCCCAGCCACAGAGAGACACTGCAACACATGCTTTACCTTCATATATCGCCGTGTGTCACAGTGCGTATCACAAAACCAGGAGTGGCTACTCTGAGGTACATATTTTTTGCTGACGTCAGTAATGGTTTTAAAGCATGAAGGTGAATTTTTGTTAGGGCTTCAGACTTGCTTAAATAGCACGAGTAATAAATGATTTCCTGTTTCTGCCTGGAGCAGTCTGACTTAAAGGATTGCTTTTTTATGTGCACACTATATCAGGCAGATTAACTGTGTGAAGGAATTGGAGGAAATTTAGTGACCTTATTGGTAAAGAAATATGCAACAAGGATGGATGTTTTTACGGCTTGTGTCATTGGTTTTAGCGAGGTGTAGGGTGTAAGATCTTTGGAAAGCTAGAGCAGTGACGGCTATGAATGTATTTTGATACGGAGGGTTTGTGTCATTATTTCTAGCAGGGACAAATGCTGCACCGACTTAGAGCTCCACAACAGTATGGAAATTGAGTTTGTGCTCACCTGGCTGTGTGAATATAATTTGCATGTACACTTGCACTTAGTCAAATCGTCTACTCACTTTTTTTGGGTTGTATTCCATTTGATAATGTGTACTTTTTATTTAACCTGAGTAGTTGTGGTGAATGATAATGGTTAGAGATTTCTAATTTCCAGTTTTCATGTTTTTTCTTTTCTTTTCCTCTGTAATTTGAACTTGTAAATGTTCAAGAAAATTTGGCATAGTAGATCTATGGATACAAGTAAAAGTAAATATTTGTAGGGGTAGAAAAATTGGATTAAACCTCTTAGGATCTTGTTTAAGCTTTAAAATATGATAGATTTAATCCTAGTCAAAGGTACAACAGTTACCACAGACAGCTCAAATTGTTGTATATTTTCTGTACTGCGTGTTTCAAGCATTCATTTTTGGGAAAGTGTGAGAGTTGCACCAGGAGTTACACTATATGTGTCATGAAAGGAGGCTGTATGGTTTTTTATTCCCCCGATCCTGGGACCTGTCACTGTTAAAGAGGAGCTGAGACTGTAATCGCCAAATGCTTCAATGTCCCCCAATTGTTTTACGATAAATAAGCAGGTTATTGGGTTCACCACAGTTTTTATTCAGGTCGTAAAATTGCAAAGATGCCCTTAAGTTGTGCTCTGACATTTCTGTTGAAGACAGGAGTCAGATGAAAGTGCCTTGTTGGTGGATGTAGTACATTTTTGTGAAATAAATACAGATACAATTCTTTTTGCCGTGCCTTGTTTTTAAATCAACAACACCAACACATTTCATTGGATATTAAAAGTTTTATTTTAGTGTAACATTTAAGATATTCTTTCAAATTTTACAAAAATAATCCAAGAAAATTATTTACATTCTGATTTCTTTAATGCAAGTAAATGCCTTACATTACTGAGATAATGACTTGCTTCCTCTACGCCTCTCGCTGCTCCTCTGAGTCTGCAGTTGTGGCCGCCTGTGCCTGAAACTAAACCTGAATTGCAAAGATGATTCAGTCACCACGTAGTGTAAGTTAGCAAAATGGTATGCGTCCATTTTGGAAATGAAGGCTTACAAAATGATAATATGCTATACATTTACAAACACAAAAGTAATACTCTTTTAAAAACAAATTGCCTTGAGATACAGTAGCTAGTCGATTAATTTTATTTTAGAAATTATTCTTGACGGATTTCAAGGAAATGGGTTGTGATTATGGGATGGAGTGGTTTATGAGTATAGGAAAAACCTGAGTTTAGACCATGATCTGTCTGTCTGTCTGTCTGTCTGTCTGTCTGTCTGTGGGTTTTGGCACAGGAGTTCTTGCACACGCAAAAATACACAAAGAAAAACCCCCAACATAAACTAAAAAAAAAAGTGAAACAATATGTAGAGCAATGGCTGCAGACGTGGAAGCCGAGCTTATACATATCAGTAACATTTCCTGTGGTGACATGTCACACACACAGTGGAGTCATTTGCCTAAAGACTGAAACAGCACACAGTATCTTTTATCAGTGTTGCAGTAGTACTAAATCTGCCTTTTACAGGTGGCAGACACAAGAGCAAGCGTTCACCTCAGCCATCTGTTCCAACAAAATGGCTGCTCAATACCACCTGCTGAGGCGAAGCCAGATCTTCTGAACAAATTTAGTGTAATCGTATCAGTGTCATGACAAAGTTTAGTGTTGTGTACTCTTGATATGTATTTTTTTCTTCATTAATACCACATTTAAATGAATTAACTTGGGCTAGTGCTGGTTGAAAGTATAAAACTATGAAGCAGCCTCCACTAGACAAACAGGTAAGCAAATCTCACTAAAATACAGTTTCCACTTTTAGTGAGTACGAGTACCAAAGGAACAAGTTCACGTCCAGAAAGCGCACAACACAGACTTCAGTACAATCAAACCTGACTTTGGGCTTAAAGTAAAAGACAAAAGTGTTAGAGTCAGTCAGACATGAATCTTTTTTCTAAAGTGAGTGTAAAAGTCAAAACAGTGTTTAGATATCTGCTCAAACTGTGAGATGCATGATTTAGAGGTAACTGTTGAGTGAATGAGGCACATTTGTCAAATCGGCAACTGCCAACCCCTCTGAAAGTTACTGTTATCTTTTCTATTTAAAATCCTGATGAAACAAAATAAACCATTACTTCCTGTCTGCTTGAAGGCCTAATCTTTAAACAGTTATTTTGTTGAAATTTAGCGCCATGCCTCTGGGTTATAAGGCCACTTCCTCTGTTCAGAAACAGTGATGTCAACAAGATAAAGAAAAATCCAAAGAGGCAGCTTTATAAGTGCTGGTTTTCAGAATGATACTGCTTTTGTAGTAGTAACATTTCATCTTATCTCTTGTGCCTCCATTAAAACCAGAAAAATATTGTTAAACTTTTCTTTTTAAGAAAAAAAACAGCATATACATTCAAGAAATATTTCAGTTATATCAAATTTCCTGTCAAATTCACAAAGTCTCCCAGGTCCAGTAGTACAAATATAGAATTTATGCTTTGTATGAGATGATCAGATACGTGATTCCCTGCAAATCTCATTTGAGTGTGTGCGTGTACAGTATCACTGTGTTCATACTGAGGGTGTATTTGTTCACCTGTGGTGTGTATGTGTGTGTGTGTGTGTGTGTGAAGGAGACAAGAGGGGGTCAGTTCTTGTGGATCTGTCACAGCCGTGTCTCCCTGTCTGTGCTGTTGTCTTGCGTTTGTTGTGATTGGTCAGAATTAGAAATCACAAACTCTTCCTTCCTGAGTGCCTCCAGCTCTGTGCCGCCGTTGGCCAGAGCTCCGTGGATGGCATTTCTTTCCTCCTTCCTCAGCTGTCGACCAAGCAGGATGAAGCCCGGGATGCAAATGATAAACGAGATGGTTCGCAGGCTCAGTGTCAGACCCAGGTATGCTATCCTGAGACGTTAAGGTGTAAAACACAGCAAGTCAACAACTTTGATTTCAGTGACATAGCACACTACATTATAGCTTTTTAAAAACTTTTTTTATGACATACTGCACTATGACTTTTTTTGGACACACTATGCTATATCTTTTTTGTTAGGCTTTTCTATAGTATACTATGCTATACTATGACTTTTGTAGAACATTTTTGTATGACTTACAATTGTAAGTCTATGACTTTTTATAACTTTTTGGACATACTACACTATGACATTTATTTATTTTTGTTTGTACCATACAAAACTATGACTTTTTTTTTATGAAATTCTATACTAAGACTTTTTTTTAACATACTCTATTATGACTTTTATGACATACTATATTATGACTTTTTATGACATACTATACTATGACTTTTTTTAGTGAAACATTTCGACATAGTATACTATATGGAAAATTATTCTTGATGAAAAATTGATGACCTACTGTACTATGATGTGTTTGATAAAAAACTGAAGACATACAAAACTATGACATTTTTGATAAAAAATGTTTACACATTATACTATGACTTTTTTTATGACAAAAATCACGACAAAATATACTATGACGTTTTTGATGAAAAATTGACAACATACCATACTATGACTTTTTTGTGAGAAAAAAACACGACTTACTATACTATGACGTTTTTGATGAAAAATTGATGACTTCCTATACTATGACTTTTTGGATCAAAAACTGACGACATACTACACTATGACGTTTTTTGATGAAAAATTGACAACATACTATACTATGACTTTTTTATGAGAAAAAAACACGACTTACTATACTATGACGTTTTTGATGAAAAATTGATGACTTCCTATACTATGACTTTTTGGATCAAAAATTGACGACATACTATGCTATGACGTTTTTGATGAAAAATTGACAACATACTATACTATGACTTTTTTATGAGAAAAAAACACGACTTACTATACTATGACATTTTTGATGAAAAACTGACAACATACTATACTATGACTTTTTTTGATGAAAAAATGACGAGATACTAACTATGACATTTGTGATGAAAAATTGATGACTTACTGTACTATGACATTTTTGATAAAAAAAATGACGACATCCTACACTATGACGTTTTTGATGAAAAAATGACAACATACTATACTATGACTTTTTGGATCAAAAATTGACGACATACTATACTATGACGTTTTTGATGAAAAAGTGACAACATACTATACTATGACATTTTTGGATCAAAAATTGACGACATACTACACTATGACGTTTTTCATGAAAAAATGACGAGATACTATACTACGACTTTTTTTATGAAAAAAAATCACGACATACTATACTATGACGTTTTTGATGAAAAAGTGACAACATACTATACAAGGACTTTTTGGATCAAAAATTGACGACATACTACACTATGACCTTTTGATGAAAAATTGACAACATAATATACTATGACATTTTTGATGAAAAAATGACGAGATACTATACTATGACGTTTGTGGTGTAAAATTGACGACTTAATATACTATGACATTTTTGACGAAAAATTGAGGACTTACTATACTATGACGATTTGATGAAAAAATGACGACATACTATACTATGACATTTTTGATAAAAAAT